TTTCATTTAGCGATCATCGAAATGGGTCAGGCCGTAGTTATGGTACATGCATTTGATATTGTACACTGCCCAGTCGTCCAACAGACAGACCACACTACCCCTGACCAGCAACAACAGGCCTCGTAACCCCCCTCGGCCCCAACCTCCCCACAACCCCTTCTCTAAGATCAAACCTCCTCTCAATCTCCCGATCCGGCACGCCCTTCTCGCGCAGGAAATGCATCTGCACAATTGTATTCAGGTCCAGAAACTCCCGCCCGGGACTGCCCCTGCGCCCCATCATGTCGAACTCGGCGTCCGCCCGCCCCTGCAGCGCCCGCCGCGCTTCCAGCGCCGCCAGGGTCGGGTTGCTCGAGGGGGAAGGGTACACCGGCGGCGCGGCGCGGCCGGTGCCCCGGGTGGGTGCATCGAGGATGTGGGGGGCCGGGGGGTCGTCGCGGCCCTGTTGTTGTCGTTGTTGTTGTTGTGGTGGTGCTGGTGGTGCTGGAGGGGTTGTTTGTGACGTCGATGACGAGGACGACGGGTGAAGGTTCACGCGGGAGGTCGGGGAGTAGGTAGGTTGGGGTTTCACGATGCCCATTTCGCGTAGGCGGCGGGAGAAATCGGCTGTGATGTCTGTGCTGGGTGCGTCGGGGATGTTGTTCTCTGGATGAGAAGGAAAACCGTGCACGTTAGTTTTCGGAGAGAGAGATTCGCTTGCTATCGCTACTTGGCATGGAAGAAGAATTCGGACTCGAAAGGAGTCCTTGGGGCTGACGAACCTTTGGTCTTGGACGTTGAAGCTTTCAGCTCAGCGCCTGCTCCTGGTGGTGCTGGAGGTGGACGCTGTCGCGCAGACGCCGGGAGGGCGGCTCCAGGGGCGCGTGTCGGGAACCGACGCGCTGCTCCCTGTGCGGCCTTGGATGACGAGGAGCCCATGGTATGCTGGTTCTATCGGGTTCAATTGGTCATTGATGTTTTGTTGGAAGGCCGGAAGACGATGGTAGGTTGATGTAGTATGTCAAGATGCAAAGAGGCAGTGAACTTGTCTGTTGGTTGCAATGCCGTCATTGTCATTGACCTTATGCGAAGAGCTCGGTCAAAATTCACTGACTGATTACTAACCAGAATCCACTGCCCCATCCATGACTAGGTACTTAGGTACATGCACAGGTGACCGACTCGATCACCGAACTTCACCGAACTTCACCGACCATGTCACCATGCACCATGTTCTGTCGTCAAGAGCTCTCTCTCATCATTTCTACGCCGCAGTAGTAATACAAGCTGTTTTTTTTTTTTTCTTCTGCCCTCTCTCGTAAGAGTGCCGTCTAATCCGGTCGTTTATAGTCACATACAGGATTTCCCATCTCCCTGGCCCCCGTACCCCGGAGTCACCACGCCCAAACGCCCCTGAACGAAGATAACAGAAGAAAACAAAAACCCGAACATGAACGTCCTTACAACTCCCCATATCCCCCGCCCTTACTCCCACCAGTATATGAAAAAGTTACACCCGGGTCAAACAGTATTACAAGGCCGCAATGGCCCGGAGGAGGACATCCACACCCGCCTCCACGCCAGGATCATCCCCCCTCAACATGCCGGCGACATCGCTCAGGATCCCCAGGGGGATGTAACACCCAGACTTGGCCTTGTCGAGGCTCTCCTTCAGCCGGCTGGTATGCTCCCACTCCCTAGCCGCGACCTCGGCGCGCGCGATGACGCGATCGTTAATCCCGCACATGGCGGCGCAGTGCATGCCGAAGCTGCCCTCGGCGACGCCGTCCTCGAGCTTGTACAGGAACGTGATCTTGCGCTCCTCGTCGTCCACGTGGATCTGCATCCGCCGGGCGCGGATCTCCGGGTGGTTCTCGAACTCGGTCGCCAGCGAGTGGTAGTGCGTGGCGAAGAAGCCGACGCAGCCGATGTGGGTGGCCACGTGGTGCAGCACCGCCTGGGCCACGGCCACGCCGTCGTACGAGCTGGTGCCGCGGCCGAGCTCGTCGAGGATCACGAGCGACCGCGGCGTCGCCTCCGACAGGATCTTCTTCGTCTCCGACAGCTCGACGAAGAAGGTCGACTGGGAGGCGAAGATGTTGTCGTTGGCTCCCAGGCGGGACATGATGCGATCCACCGGGGTCAGCCTGGCGCTGCTGGCGGGGACGTGGCATCCGATCTGGGCCATGATGACCGCAGTGCAGCTCTGAGATGCACTTGTTAGTGAGGGAAAAGAAAACGGCGAAGAAAAAAAAAAAAAAAAAAAAAGACACAAAACTCACCATTCGAAGAATAGTCGATTTACCCGCCGCATTGGCGCCCGTGAGCAGGTTGATCCGAGCCGAATCGCCACCGAGCTGAATGTCATTGGGGATAAAGTCGGTCACGGTGTTGAGCATGCAGGGGTGACGCAGCTCGGAAAACTCGACGACGCTCCGCTCCTGATCCACAAACTGCGGCCGGCAGCTGGGCTCGCCCAGGGACGAGGACGCCTTGGCCAAGCCGACGAGGCAGTCGAGCTGGGAGATGATGCGGATGGCCCGCAGCCACGTCTCGTAGTCGGCGTCGAAGCGGCGGAAGAAGCGCGACGCCACCTCCTTGATGATCTGGGAATGCGTCTCCTCGGCCTCCTGCAGGTCGCGCACGAGGTCGCTCAGGGCGCGGAAGTAGTACCTCTTGACGCTCGCCGTCGCCGACATCTGCCGCCAGTCGGCCGGCACCTTGAGCGACTTGGGCGCCTCCAGCTGGTAGATCTCCTTGCCGCTGTCGGTGAACTTGAGCGTCTTGCACTTGAGCTCCGCCTTCTTCTTCTCCAGCAGTTTGTGGAGGTCCCGCTTGATGACCTCGATGCGGTCCTGGCTCTCGTCGAAATCGTCCTCGATGCCGCGCTCGGGGACGAACACCTTGTCGCCCTTGGCCTTGCTGCGATCAAACGCCGTTTTCCAGTAGGTCAGGGGTCCGTCGAGGTCAGGCATGGATGCCAACAGCCGGTCGACGAGACCCTGGCCGCCGCCCCACGCACCCAGCAGAGTCATGGTGTACTCGATCTGCTCGAAGCCTTCGAGGACGCGGACAAAGTCGTCGGGCTTGCAGACGCCGGCGTGGATCCTCGATATCAGGCGCTCCAGGTCGGGCATCTTGGTCATTTGGGACGAAAACTGCTCGCGCACGCTCCGGTCCGAGTTGAGCATGTCGACGGCGTCGAGCCGTTCTTCTATCCGCTTGATGTCGCACAGCGGGTGGCACACCCACTGGCGGAACAGGCGCTTCCCAAACGGCGTGACGCATCGGTTCAGCAGCGTAAACAGGGTCCCCTCGGGCCCGCCGTTGACGCTGTTGGAGAAGATCTCGAGGTTGATGAGGGTCTGGCCGTCGAGAATGAGGGTGCCGTTGCGCCTGATCGGGCTGTACTGGTCGAAATTGCCCTGCGACAGGAGGCTGTGTTCGATCTTGAGGTTCCTGAGGTACTGGACGAGGGCGCCCAAGGCCGACATGACCAGGTCCTTGTTCTTGGCTGCGATGAGCGCCTTGGGCCACTTTTCCCCTTCCCCTTCCCCTTCCTCGCCTTCGACGGCGGCAGCAAAGTAGCCGCCGCTGACGAGTTCCCTGCGGGTAGTGTCGGCATCCCAGAACTCGAGACCGGGCCGGAGGTAGTTCCAGATGGTCGTGGGCGACGTGTTGCTCTTCAGGATGCGAAGGGCCTTGGTGGAGATGTGCGACTTTTCCAGGAGCAGCTCCCGCGGGCAGGTCTGGGCGACAAAGGTCTCGAATTTGGTGAGCTCGACGTCGTCGTCGAACTGGGTGAGGTAAAACTGGCCGGTGGCGCAGTCGACAAAGGCAATGCCGATGTGCGGGACGCCGCCGATCACGGACTCTTTGATGGCGGCACAGTAGGTGGCGAGGTCGTCTTGAAGCATGCTGCCGTCGACCAAGGTGCCGGCGGTGAGGATGCAGGCGAGCTCGCGGCGAATGACCTTGTCGGCCTTTTTGTTCTTGGCGGCATCGTCGCCGCCGCGCTCCCGCATCTCTTTGCCGAGGGCGGACTCCATCTGGTCGACGCGGGCGACCTTGTAGCCCTTGGCAATGAACTGATTGACCCAGATGTCTAGCGAGCTCTCGGGGACGCCCACCATGCGCATGTTGACGCGGTCGGTCATCTTCAGGTCGAAGAGCTGATGGCCGATGGTGGCGTCGTTCTCGTACAGCTCGTAGAATTTGCCCTTCTTGAAGAAGACGACGGTATCCCAGAGCTTCTGTTTGATCGCCCAGTACTGCTTCTCGAAGGGGGAGAACTTGTTCCACTGGGCCGGGGGGACGTAGATGGTGCCGGGGTCGTAGTCGGGGTGGCCGGGAGGGTTTCGGTTGATGTCGGTGATGTTGGCCAACCAGGGATAGCGTTCTTGAGGCTCTGAAGTGTGAGCCTTCTGCTTTCCCGTGGAGGACGATGAAGTGGTGCGGAGGGGAGGCGGACGGAGGGCCCTGGTCGTGAGCGAGGGAGGGGCATTGGGATCAAAGCGCCATTGCTGAGCAGTGGATGGGGGAGGCAACTCTTCGTCGTCCCCATCTTGGCCCTCGAGATCATCGACCATGCGGACGGGGGTTGGGACGTCAAGAGCGCTCGAGGCAACTCTCTTTCGTGGGGCGGCCGTCTTCTTGGCGGGACGTTTCCGCTTCCTTGAAGAGGCTTCGTCATCTGACTCGTCCGACACGACGAATTCTGCCACGTCTGCGTCGTTCGTGTTAGCAAGAGTGCACACTGTATCTCTACCGACTACTTGGCCCCCATTGGCGAATAAGAGGAACATATCGTACCCTCATCTTCGTCTACCGGCTCAGCGGCAGCATCATAGACATCGTCGTCTTCGTCATCTGGTACGATGATGCGGGACCTCCCGCGTCGACGGTTGCGAGAGGATTCGAGGGCTTCGAAAGGATCTTCGTCGTCGTCGGAAGATTCGGCATAGTTGATTGCCTTTTTAGTCTGTTGGAGATGGAAGTTGGCATCCGTGGTGGATCAAGAGAAGGAAAGAAAAAGGAAAGAGAGGGGGAAGACACAGAGAAACCACATACCTTCCGAGAAGGGCTGCTAGGCAAGGCAGAGGCAGCTCCAAGTCCAGCAGCAGCAGCAGCAGTCTGGCGGGGAGGCAGTTCAGCAGGCGTAAGGGGCGGGGGCATGTCGTGGCCGTTCTCTACCTTGACGTTGACGCCGTCCAGATCCATGTTCTCCTGGGAGCTGCTGGGGGGTTCGAGTACGTCGCTACTCGGGACGGGGGTCAAAGTGGACGATCGTCGGTTCATGGCACGCGCATTGGTTTTCGAATTGAATGTGGTGGTCGAGTCTTTGAGGCCTCGAGCTCGTGGACCGCTACGAGGAGCGGGAGTAGGAGTGGCAGCGGTGGTGGTGGTGGTGGACGCGGAAGGAGGTGGTTTGGGTTTAGCGGAAGAGGAGGAAGCAGGTTTTGAAAAGAAGCTGGTGATGGATCGTTGGGTGCTGCCCGAAGGGGTTTTGGCAGGCCCCGGTGTCCGTACCGAAGGAGATCGATGTTCAGCCATGCTGAGTTCTGAGGAGAATGACCAACACCAACGAACGAAGGACCAAAAGACACAGCAACAAAGGAGGACAAACACAGGGTAGGGGTACTGCAATAACCACACAGAGGTAGATGCTCCCAGCTAGTCGTGTAAAAGGTAAAAGATGAAGAAGGTATTAAGGTATGGGAGCAGGGACAGGAATATAGAGAGAATGGGGAGAAGTGAAAGGGGGACTAGGACGGGAGGGTAGCTGGTAATTATGTCCCCGATATTCGGTGAACGGACGTGACAGACACGGGGGGGGGGAGAGTTGAGTCGCGTCGAAACCCTGGACCTCGCGTCAAAATGTCGCGTAATTAAATGGGCGGGTCTTGGGTCTTGGGACGGCTATATGTCGGGGTATTTGGTCCAGTGTACATTGTACATAGGTACCTAGATATAAGTACCTAAGGTACCCATAAGTTTTGTGCATTGCGTCATTAGTGGTTAAGGCTCGGCCGAGTACGGAGTAATTAAGGAGACCTCACTGTACGTGACATCCAGACGATGATATCTAGGTAGCCTTCTGGTAACCTTCTAGTAGCCTTCTAGTAGCCTTCTAATAGCCTTCCTCAACCCAAAATATCTGTTGGGATTGCTACTACGGTTTCATATCAGAGTGATGTTAACGGAGGATTTTTATTGTAAAGCTACCGTAAATAATGTAGTTAATGCGTCCTGGAGACCGTTCTCTACTCCAAAAAGAACCGCCAATAATTCTATGCTAAACCTCTCGATCCCTGAACCTAATCAACGCATAAATGGACTCCTCCCCCCCAATAAACTACGATGTAAAGTATATTCTATGTAGTGACAACGCATATGAACGTCCTTTAAGCCCTCAAAGGGAATGGGATCACCCTTGTCGTTCCAGGGACTGCGTCGTCACCAGAATTAGCGTCCTCCTCTGAGAATATATATGCACAGTAAACGACGACGACACCTGGGGGGAAGAAACTCACAATAGCAAACCTGCTCTTCGACCGGATCGTCTCTCCAAAAAAGACCAGAGCCCAAGGTATCAAAGTAAGCCCCGCAGCAATGCCGCCCAGCAACGACCCAGCCCTCTCCTCGCCAAGATTCCGGATCAGCGCGCCGGTGACCAGAGGGAAGGCCCCGCCAAGCAGGTTCCGACAGCACGACTGGGCCGCGAGAGCCGACGACGCGTACTTGTGATAGATGTCCGCGAAGTAGTTGAAGGTGGCCAGGTAGACGGAGTAGATCCCCCACGTAGCCAGGAAGATCCCCGCCGCGGGCGCCACCCAGTGGACGTCCGGGCGGACGGTGAAGCCGAAGAGGAAGAGGCCCGCGGGGAGGAAACACGCGGTGACGCAGGTGAAATAGAGCCGGCACTCGGGCGCCTCGGCGGGGAAGCGACGGCGGACGACACGCCAGAAGGAGGCCGAGACGGCACCGCCTTCGGGAGGTGGGAGGTCGGCGCGCCACTGGGGAAGGAGGAGGAGCCGGTCCTGGGCAACGGCGACGGCGGTGGCGACGGCGGACCCGGCCGTGATGGCGCCGAAGAAGTAGCCCGACTGCTCGATGCCGAAGGCGCGCCGGCGGGCGAAGGCGAGGGAGATGCTGCCGAACTGGCAGTACAGCACGGCCCAGGCGAAGGCGCACCAGAGCGAGAAGGAGAAGACGGTCGGCTCGGTGAAGAGGAGGTGGAAGGGCCGCGTTACGGACGTCTTCATCAGCTCGGTCAGGGATGCGCGCTCCTCGTCTTCCTTGACTGTCCACCGCAGGCGTACGAGTCGTCGGCGCGGGGTGAGAGAAGGGACATGACTGTTGGTAGTGCCAGCGCTGTCGTCGTCGTCGCTCATGGGCGTGTTCATCTTCTCCTCCGGCTCGGAATCCGAGACGACGGTACCCTCCGGAGATGCTTCCCTCGCGTCGACAATCTCCTTTTCTTCGTGTTCTTCTGCTTCTGCTTCTGCTTCTTCTTTTTCTGTTTCTATTTCTTCTTTTCCTTCGTCCTCCTCTACCCAAACACCATAAGCACCGGCCTCCTCCTCAAGCCGTTCATACCAGCGATTCAGCGTCTTGGCCTTCCGCGATAAGAGGACAGACCCGCGCGTCTCGCTCAGCCAAAACACCAACCCGACCAGCAGAACCGTCCCGGCGATGACCTGGTGCCAAAACACCCACTGCCACGCCAACGTCCCGTCCCCACCCGCACCCCCAATCCTCTCCATCATAACCGACGCCACAAGCGGGCCCATCCCCGTCCCCCCCAGCACCGCGCCGCTAAAAAGCGCCATGGGCCCATTCCGGTCCTCCTTGGCCCACACATCCGCAATCACCCCGCCCGTGACCGAGCTAAACACCGACCCCCCCGTCCCCACCAGCAGCCGCGCCACCAGCATCCCCGCCAGGCCCGGCATGACCGAGCACACCGCCTGGAACGCCACGTACACCAGCCCCGACGCCACCAGCACCGGCCGCCGCCCGTACACCTCGGAGAGGGGCGCCAGCACCATCGGCGCCAGCGCGAACCCGACGCAGAACGTCGTGATGCCCGCCACCGTGGCGAGCTCGCTGGCGCCCAGGTCCTCGGCCATGGCCGGCACGGGCGGCGCGTAGGACCCGGACGAGTAGGCGGTGAGGAAGGTGGCGGCGCACGCCAGGGCCAGGATGATGTTTTTGCGGTGCGATGGCCATCTCTGGGGGCAGCCGAGCTTGGTGAGGTCGGGCTGCGGCGGGAGGGCGGCGCGGGCGTCGTCTGGGTCCAGGGCGGCCGTGTATGGCGTGGGGAGGTCGGTGTCGAAGGTAAGGTAACGGTACGTTATGGGGGTTGACTCGTCGATGCTCTGTGGCTGCGAGGGACCGGCAGAAGATCTGACAGGCTGGTGTTTCACATGGCCGGCACTTTCCCATGGGCATCCGTCGGGGGATGGCATGCTAGGTTGGGAGAGACAGGGCGAGCGGCGCAGCAGTTACAGTAGGACGTACGCTTGCGTCAATGTAATGTTAACGAGAAGATGACCCCCATTTTGTCTCCGTGCAGGTTGGGAGAGCTCGAGGGGAGCACCAAGAAATAAGCAGAGAGGGAGAAGAGGAGAGACAATATCGATTACGAATTACGTGCGACGGCACGAGCGGGAATAACGCGAAGTTGAAAATTTGCGGCCCTGGATCCGTCCTTGGCGAACGGCGGAATCGAGTGGATCAAGCGGATCAAGCGAATCAGAGTCGTTAGGAGGGCCGATGAGGACACGGGAGAGAGGATGTTTACTTTGCAAATGCTGTTGAAAAGAACTAAAAAGATGATGAGGGTCGGTCAGTCGGTCCTCATTTCATGCCTTCGTCATTGCGCCAAGCGCCGCAACTTGCGCCTTTCGTGCGCCGTACTTGTCAAAACATAGATGATAGGTACACTGTAAGTACATAACTCATCCCCCATGGTAGTCCCATTTGGGCCGAGTTAGGGGATGGATGTCATGGGCCTGGCTAGGGTGCTCGGTAATTAGTAAGTACTATATATACGTTGTATGCATGCCGAGCTTACTTTGACGTCGCATGTTTGTTTGCATTGTCGCATCTCGCATGCAGACAAAAGTCCCCGATTGGTAATCCCCTCTCCTCCCTCGTATCATCAACCTCTCCTCCCTCGTATCGTCCACCTCTCTTCCATCTCAAAACCTAAAAGCCCCAATCCCCATCAATGTCGGACCGAAGGGCTGTTTCCCGGCAGCTCGGCAATGAAACCATGCGGCTCCCGATACTGCTGCCGCCCACCAGTGTCACCACCGGCATATTTCGGGGAGTCGTCCAGCTCTGCGGGACCATGGACATGCTGCGGCTGATAATGACAAGTCGAACGAGTTGAGCGACTTGAGTCTATTCCCGGAGTGTGCAGGGACCTTTCGTCGTGTAGTGGTGAGTGTTCCGGCCAGGGATCCCGATCGATCAGTCCCCCGCTGCCAGAGCGAGCCTCTTGCATGCCACTGCCGCCACTGCCGCCACTGCCGCCACTGCCGCAGGTGCTGGCAGATCCGGTGCGGGCCTTGATGGCTTTCTTGTGACGTCGCATGAAGATGAAGAGTAGCAGGAAAACGGCGGCCATGGTGAATCCGCCAATGCCGGCCGAAATCCCGATGATGGTTCCGGCAGTGATGCCCGCGTCGTTCTCGCTGGAAGGGAGGTTCGACTGGTTTCCGATCGGCCATGTCTCGGAGTGGCCTGCTGAGGCGTGTGACGTTTGGATAGTTTCGAAGGATGTCCTTGACGCGCTTGAGAGTACCTCTTGTCCGGAGGTTGGGGCAGAGGCCTCAGCGGTGGTTACTGATGAGAATCAGGACGAGTCAGCAACAATCCAGGATGCAGACAAAATTTAGCTTGGATGAAAGGGGGGGGAGGGATAGGACGAACAAGGAGGCAAGGGAACGCCCGGGATGGCACCACGGCTTCGAGTGGTGGACTCTGAAACGGTCTCTGTAGTCGTCTCGCTCTCCTTGTCATTGTCGAAATCAAATGTAGCATAAACGGGAACTCGGGTTGTACGACTGGTGGTGTCGCTCTCGTCTTGATCATCTCTCTTCCCCTCTCTTCTTCCTCTAGGGGCCAGAGTGGGTTGCGGACCGAGGTCGTCGGGGTAAGGGTAGGTGACGAAGCTGCTCATTGTGTGGTCGTTGGTCAGCAGAAGAAAAATAAATGAATTTTGAGTGATCAAGACTCGATGAGCCAGAATGGAGTTGTGGTTTTTCTTTTTGTGCTGTTCTTTCCTTAGGGCATCTCCATGTCTTCAGAGAAGGGAGCCCACAGACTAGCAAAGATCTGAGTTGCACAGTTGAAAAGACCAAAGGGAAGGAAAAGAAACAGGAAGAGAATAAGAAAGAAAGAAGAAAAAAAAGAGAGAGAGATTATCAGCCGTTCAATGGCAAAAAGAGACTCGGCCTAGTTGAGAATAGTATTGTTCTGGCTTGGGAGTGGGATGTAAAGACGTAGAAAAGGGAAGGAACCTCAAAGGGGAGGATTCAAAGAGTGACAGCGAGGGCAGGCAGGTACAAAGAGAGTACTTTAGGGAGATGAGATACGTAACACACGTACCACGGCAGTTGCCAACATCAAGGGGGAAAGAGTAAGGGGAAAGAGCGATGAGAGCTATGACTACCTACATTCCCTTACGGTCCTTACCTTACAGATGCTTGTGAGTCGTGACGTCCTGCTCATGCCGTGTTCCATGATCAACCACGGCTAAATGCAGCACTGCATATGCGTATCAACATATCTTCATCGACCTATTTCGCTACCCAAGGTAAGGTACGCAATAGCAAGCCAAGTTATCATAACAAGGTGTGGTAGTCCACTTGTGTGCCATCCTCTTATGATACTCCTTCTGCCCAAGTAGATATAGACAGGCTGCATATTAATTCCAAAGCCAACTACATCCATTATCGCCAGATATCTTCCTAGATCTATCTACCTAAGGGAAGCAGCAGATTAGTAGGGCAGTATGACTAGAATAAGCAATATAGTTCGGACGTTTATATAGAGAGACGAGACAAAATAAACAGGAAAAAAGAAAAAGCAAAAGAAAAGAAAAGAAAATGGCAGAAGGTTCTGGGCGCGGTTCGAAACCGTGCCCGTCCTTCACGCCCACCTTGCTGGTGCGCGCCCTACAGGGTCTAGAGGGATGCCATCTCGGGTATTTGTTTAAGTCGAGCCTCTACCACTTGCACCATCCCAGCTCAGCGGGGGAGAGTACCTAGGTGGTGAAAGGGAAAGAGTTCCGGGGGGGTATAAAGGTATGGCCAAGTCCTAGGTAGGTAGGCAGGGGCAGAAATCCAACCTACGTCTACGTAAAAGGGAAGGGGCGGGAAGGTGGCTGAAGGTAGATGGCCATAGTTCCCTAAGTACCACAATGTTCGGAAAGTGCAGAGAGGCTAAACTTAATTCTGCCCCTACCTTATAAAGACCCCTGAGATGCCTCTAGCTGTTTATACCTAGGTACTTTAGACACTCTCCCTTCTCCCTCCCTCCCCTATTCAGCCCCTCCATCGTCCTCTGCACTCCTCCAATCAGCCTAGCAAACTCGCCTCCCCTGGCCCTCAACTCCTCATACCCCCCCTCCTCCACCACCCTCCCCCCATCCAACACCACCACCCGTTCAGCAAGCTGCATCATCTCCTTCGAATGCGTCACCAACACCACCGCCATCTCCCTCCGCCGCGGATCCGCCACCAACCCGCGAATCGTCCCCCTCACCATCTCCGCCGTCTCCGCATCCAGCGCACTCGTCGGTTCGTCCATCACCAGCACCTGCAGCCGCCTCGCCAGCGCCCTCGCGAGGCAGATCCGCTGCGCCTGGCCCCCCGACACCGCCTGCCCCCCGTCTCCCATCACCGTCTCGTACCCTTCCGGCAGCGACTCCACAAACTCGTCGATCCCCGCCGCCGCCGCCGCCGCCCGGACGTTCGACGCGCTTCGTAGCGGCGACATCTCCGTCAGCCCGTAGCCGATGTTCTCCGCCACCGTCCCGGGGAAGAGGAAGGGCGCTTGGGGCACGAACGCCATCATGGTGCGGAGGTGCTGGGCGTCGACTTCCCAGAAGGGGGTGGTGCCGTGGAAGGAGAGCATGGGAGGTTGCTTTTCTGATCCTGGGTCCAGTTCTGCTTTTGCCGTCGCGGTTGGTGTACTTATACTTGTTGTTGCTGATGCGGGTCGGTGCGGCGTGTAGAGCGACATGATGAGCGAGATGAGCGTGCTTTTCCCGCACCCTGATGATCCCACGATGGCCGTGCATGTCCCCGCTTCGATTTGCAGGGTCAGGTTGCGGAGGACCGGCACGTCGGGGCGAGAGGGGTACGCAAACTGGAGGTTGCGCATCCGGATGGGCAACGGCGTAGGCAGCTTCTTCGGCGAGGGGCCTGCACCTGCACCTGCACCTGCATCCGTGCCGCCCTCGCCCTGTTCCTCTTCTTTACTCGACTTGTCATTGTGGTCGGAAAGGTTGACGTAGTATAGCATCTGCGCCGCCGTGGCCTTGGACGCCGCGATTTGCGGGATCGTCCCCAACAGCGAACCCGCTTGGCCCAGGCAGAACAGCAACAGGTTACACACCTGCTGGATCTGCACGAGATTCGCCTCAAACTCTCGCGCGACCAGGACCATCGCGTAGTAGAACACCAGCGCCACCAGGAAAAAGTTGATGCACTGGTAGAGCCCGAACAGGGGCGACGTGTAAACCGCCCTCCTGACCCCCAGCTTGAAAGTCGACCGCACCGACCTGTCGTACTTGGCCCCCATGTACGCCTCGAGCGTGAGGTTCTTGACCACCCGGATGTTGGTGAACGTCTCCGTCAGCACCGCGCTCGTGTCCCCCGCGCTCCGGTTGCACCTCGTCTCCCACCGGGTGCTCGTGTACGAGAACGCCTTGACCGCCATCAGGATGGCCGGCCCGCCCGAGAGGGCCACCAGCGTGAGCTTCCAGCTGATCGACAACGCCCATATCACCGCCGTGAGCACCATCACCGTGACGATGACGAGGATGGGCGCGAACCGCCCCACCAGGTTCCTCATCTCCTCCGCGTTCCTGTCCATGCACTCGTTGATCCGCCCGACCGAGTTCTGCGGCTTGTCGAACCACACTTTGGGCTGCCGCAGGATCCGCTTCGGCCCTTCCAGCCGGAGCGCGTTGATCCAGGCCTGCCCCGCGTACTCCATGAGGTAACGCCCGGTCCACATCGCCAGCCCGTTGACAACAGCTATGACGATGAGGAGGATCGCCCACAGCCTCCCCGCCGATTCCCTGTCGTCCGTGTCCGCCCAAAAGGCAGACAGGAGCCATGCGAAGCAGTACGAGAAGAGGGGACTGGCCACCGCAACTATGACGCACAAGACGATGCCCGCCACCAACCTCAACCGCTCAGGGGGCGCCAAGTGCGACCACACCGTCCGGAACAGCTTCAAGAGGGACAACGGAGGACCCATGTCATTATCGGATCCCCGGTCGTGGTGGCGAGGATCCGTCGTTCCCGTATCGGCGGTACCGGGCCTCTTCTCCCCGTCGTCCTCATAGTCGGCGAGAGGGGACCGGACTCGCCTTGATCTCGTGGATCCTATCCGAGTACGCCGGATATGGTGCCCGACCCTCTCCACCATCTCCATGCTCGATCTCCGTGAAACGGAACGCTCCGACCGGGCGCGACTCTTAGACCGCGGCCGGCTCCAGGGTCGAGATTGCCCTCCGTCGAACGTGCTTCGCCTGTGGTAGTGATGCGGTCTTTGGTCGGTGTCACCGTCATCCCAGATCGCCCTGGTCCTGATGAACGTGGCGTGGACGGTAGCATCACCCAGTGATGATCCGATATGCCGCCTCCCGAATCCATATTCCCGCGATGGCGTGGCCTCTTCCAGTTGTCTCGCTATGATGTCGCTGACAATAGAAGATCGCCGTTTGCCTGCCTTGGTATCATCCCTATCATGCCACCGAGGCAGAGACTCGGAGCTGTGTGATCGTTTCAATGCCGGGGTGGAGGGCGACCCCATCGACTCCCCGTCGTCGCCCAAGCCTACCTCTTCATCCGTAGCAGCCAGGAGAGAAGCGAACAAGCCATCGCCCTTACTCTGCTCCGCGATACGCTCCCTCGTCCCTTCCTGCACCAGGCGGCTCTTGTCCATGACAAAGACGTAATCGTCGTCTCGGATCTGAGAGACGTCGTGCGTGATGATGATCGTCGTCTTGTCCCGACGCCAGGTCCGGATGGCCTCCATGACCAGCGCCTTGCTGGCGGGGTCGAGGCCGCTCGTCACCTCGTCCAGAATCAGGACGGGGGGGTCGCGTAACCGAGCGCGCGCCAGTGCCAGTCGCTGTTTCTGGCCGCCGCTGAGGCTGTACCCTCCAGGCCCGACCATGGTGCTGAGACCCTGCGGCATGACCGCCAGAGTCGACTGCAGCACGGCCGCGTCGCAAGCTTTCTTGACGTCGTCGATCGTGGCCTCGGCTGGCGATCTGTGTCCGAAAGCGATGTTCATGAAGAACGTCTCGTTGAAGAGGACGCTCGTCTGCTGGATCAACGTGACGTTGCTTCTGAGCCAATGGTCGTCTAGCGAGCTAATGTCATAGCCGTCGATGGTGATGTTTCCCGTGAGGGGCCGGTAGAAATTGACGAGGAGATTGCCGAGGGTGCTTTTGCCGGAACCGCTTCTCCCAACGATGAAAGACGTCTTGCCCGTTGGGAAAACGAAGGAAGATCTGCTAAGGACTATTTGATCTGGATTCGACGGGTAGGCGAAACTCACCTGAAGACAAAGGATGTATTAGCTACCTTGGTTACCGCAGAAGAGGTAGAATTGGGGGGGGGGGGGGCTTGGGTCTTACGTCGTGGGCTTCGACAGCACCAGCACAGTAGTACGGAGGCCTGTAGCTGCTTCCTGGTCTTCTCTTCGAACCGCGGGCAACGGAATCGGTGCTTCGGAGAGCCTGTCCAGCGGACATGCCCTTGGCAAGGACAAGCCACTGTGGCATGAGAGCTTCGATACCCTGAAACGCTGTCAGGGTAGCGTAGAACGTGGTGAGGATTTGACCGGCCGTGGCCCCTTGGGAGACCAAAACGATGCCGTACCAAAACCCAACCGCAAACAGGCCGATGACCCAGAACTTAGCATAGCCCATCTGGATTGCGTTGCAATGCGCCTGTACGAGGTATTGCTTCATGGACGCCTTGATAGACCCGTAGTATTTCCAGACCTCATAGTCGAAGCCGTTGTAGATCTTGACGAGGTCAATGCCGACAACAGCCGAATTCGCGTATTTCGAGGCCTCTGCGAGATGGCCTTTTTGCGCCTGGATAGCGGGTTGGAGGCGGCGGGTTGCCAGCGTGAGAATACCAACGGAGATGGGGAGCGTGGCAAGGAGAACGAGAGTGAGCCGCCAGGACATGTAGAAGGACACGGCGATGCAAGCGATCGATACGAATGCGTCGCTAATAAGAAAGCCAAAAACTTGCGATGTCGCCAGCTGGAGCTCGCGAATTTGTCTGGAGAAAGAGAAAAGAAGAAAAATAAATTCAATTAAAACCCGTTAAATGACTGATAGCATCATATCGTCTGAAGGAGGAATGGGGAACAAAGACTTACGTTTCAATCCTGACAAGAAGACTGGATATACCATCAGATTGGCCATCATACCATGCGATGTCCCTCTCTAGAAGGCTTTGGAATGTCTGCTCGCGAGCGCTCCTCGCCTGCAGCTCGCCGAAGATGACCCATGAAGAGAGGAAAGCCGTGTTAGCAGCCCAGTGCCCGGCCCCGAGCCCGCAGAGCAGGATGCACAAGCTTTCTACCTCGGAGAGGGCATCGCGGGGGCTGAGCACGCCAGTATTAAAGTCGACGGCGAGTTGGAAGAACTGCCCGAAAGCGACGGCCAGAGACGTCTTGAACGCGCCGACAGCAAACGCGGCGAGAACGGCCGGGATCAGAGCGATGCAGTGCCTCCGTCTGGTGAAGGCGAAAAGATCTTTCCATGACGCTCGTCGGTTGGGGGTTGTAGTGCCATTACCATTGCCGGGAGTGGCGCCGCGGTCCACTGAGGCCATTGAGACGATTCGGGCGATCGGGTTTCGAGCGCAGTGCGTTCATCTACCTTAATTGAGGCGGACTGGAGGCGCGGACGCCGGATACTGTGGTCTTGACTTCTGCGTAACGATTTCCCAAGATGAATAGACGACTACAAGATGAGGTTCAAAAGTCTTCAAGTGCTAGGGCTTGAAGAGGAATCGGATGTCGTCCATGGTTCGAAGTAGAATTGGAGCGTAGATAGTGCACGAGACCGACCGGACGAGCCGGTGTTCCTTGGGCGAGGAACAATCTGAAGCGTAACTCCATTGAACCGACACGGGTATAATACGTACGTACATACAGATATTTTTTGATTATGTCGTGGGTCATTGTGGCGGGGGCGGAAGAAGTGAATGTAAGTCCTCTTAATATTGTTCTTCGTAGAGTTCAGGGGGTGTGGTGGAAGAACAATGCTTAGGTGCCAGGGGTTCGCCTTTCGAGGACACCATGTCGCTCGGAAGCACGATCCATTATGCGTAAAAGGCCGATTAGTCCATGAAGATTTATTACTCACCTGAATGATGAAGGGGTCATGTGTTCGGAAACCAGTATCTTTGTTGGTAATTTGATGTGAGCTCTTCTCGAGTCCCCTTCAAGTCTCGACACCCCCCAGAATTCCGACAGGGAGGGATAAAAGGCTCGAGTCTCGAGTCGCATTGGCCGGAACTCACGGACCCTAGGGAGGCTCTTGGGAAAAGCATTGGCACAAAGAACTAGGTGCGTTGTATGCGGTCTCGGAACTGCTAGTTAACGAGGAAGACTCATTGGTTGTGGAAGCGAACGAACGGGCTGCACTTCCTTGGATTCAAGACAGGAATTCTCCACTGGTTTGATTCCGTTCTGGGATGCGAGGATATGCGAGCCACAGCGCCTGCATCGAACATTGAGAGTATTTCTGGAGATAAATATTCCAACTGCTGCGACGTGCTCGAACTTGGATGGTGATGCTCAAGCCAAAACGCAGCAATGGCCTCCCCAACAGTGGAAAAATGCGCCGAAAGGAAAAATCAATTGCTAGCCTCCTTCAGAGTCAGTCTGTCCGCTCTTATGCCTTGTTGCCCTGCCCCTTTTCTGCTTGCGCCTTCTCGTAAATCCAGTCGTTCAGACCCTTTCGGTTCCGGGCAATTTCGACGGCGTAGAATTGCATGCGTGGTACTGCGCATCGTCCGTTGGTCAGTTCAGTGGTCCAGACGTCCTTGTGTTGGAAAGAAGGCAAAAAGAACGAAAGAAAGAAAGAAAGAAAGCAGCCCATACCAAAGATGACCTCGTCCCGGCCGTACTCATACTTGGCATTCGAACGAAGCATGGTCCCAAAGTTGTAGTCGTCAATCATCTTCTCGTAGGCCATCATGAAATTCCGCCACCTCTCCTTGCCCTGCTTGCTCTTCATCTTGTCCTCGTCAATGGTCTCGGTCGGGTCGAACTCGGGGAAATCTTTCTGGAGGTGCTCGTAGATCTCGTCGTCATACTTTGTCAGGCGGAGGGATGACCCTTTTACTTTCTCGAGGATGGCCCAGTAGGTCTCCATGTGCTGGACCACTGAAAGGGGAAAGAAAGGGTGCTTTTGGTTAGTCTCGTATCTCTTTGACAGCGCGACAGGGACTGCGTGACTGTATTCGAACCTTTGACGGCAAACTGCTTTTCAATCTGAAAAGGAGCAAACCCCAGTTAGTACACCGGTTTTGCGCCAGTCCCCGCCGTGGATATTGATGCTTACATCTTCGAGATTGTCTGCCTGCTCTGCATTGAAACTGGGGGGGACATTCTGGGGCATAAGTCTGGGGTCGTCGATATCCATGTTGACCGAAGGTTGATGGTGTATAGATGATAGGTTGGAGATTCGTTTCCCTAGCGCTGCATATGAGGCTCGGGCTTTACGATCAGCTGCCGGGAGATGATGCGATGGTGATTGATGCGCAAAAAGAGGGAGTAATTCGTTCGTCTTTGGTGGTGATGCGGTAGGTTCGTGTCGCCAAAAGTTGCAAAAGGTGGGGGCGGGGTATACAGTCATCAGTGCGCGTTCACTGTACCTTTTATACTGTGATCTGAAGCTACAAAATGTGGGGCAAGATGGTACGGCTCCTGAATTACTCATCATCTCCTCCAGCGACTTCCTGAAGCTCCTAGACACAGCTGGACCTTTCCACCTTCAACCCGAGGCAACGGGAGGCAACTCCAGCATGTCCTCGAGATTCGCTTCCTCATTTTCCATCCCCTCGCACCTCGTCCGACTTTCGTCGCGTCGAACTTCTAAGATCCAGCCGGGATACAATTCCTCGTAATGTGAATCTCGGTTGCCTCTGGCCGAGCTCCAGCCGAGATTGTTTTCTTCTGAGGTCGGCTTTTGACTCCCCTCGTCTCAGCTCCTTCATAGAAGCCACGTTCCTCAACGCCACCTTTGGTTTTTTCTCGGTTAGTTCAGTCCTGGATCTCTTGGGCTTTAGTCCGGTTTCTCTTTTGGCCTTCGTCTCGGCCGGTTCCTCCGCCTCCAGGTTCGGTCTGGACTGGTCTCGCCCAAACGTATGCCGAGACGTCTTTTCGTTGCCCCCGAATGTGGTATGGGACTCCGCATCGGAGGAATCCCACACGGATACCTTGGTTTTGGTGCAGGGCTCCTCCTCCTTCTCCAACCATGTCGTATGTCCCGTTGCCGTCTTCTTCCCCTTCGCAAGTCTCTTGCGTGTGAACTTTTCCTTCAGTGCGCCGAGTCTACTTTTAACGTTGTCTCTATTCTCCGCACTCGTCGTAGTCGACGTCTTGCGAGTACTCTGCCGCACCATCGTCGTCGTGGAACAACGCGGGCTTCCCTTCCGGGTTTCGCTGCTCGAAGTCGAAGCAGAGGCTCTGGGCCTGGCCACGAATGTCTCTCCTGTGGTGGTCACGTAAGGCGCTGGTGGTAGGACGGCCCCTTGACTCCAGTCGTCCCAATCCTCTGGGACGGGTCGGTTGTGGTCATCCAGCGCGATTTGCCCCTGGCTGCAGTCGATGAGCGAACTTTGACCGGGGATCCGAGGCCACAGTGTCGAAGGGGCAATTCGGTACGTGTGATGCTTCAGCATGTCTCGGTCCTCAGGTAATGTAAAGAGTCCCTGGATGAGCGTCTTTGTGTATGCCTCGCTGAAGCCACAGATGCGGATCGATTCGACCAGGCCACGGAGCTGCATGATGGGGTCACAGACCCGCAGAGCACTATCTGGGCAGTATGGGACCTTGACTACTTGATATCGTTGGATCAGTCGTCAATATGATAAAGAGACGGGGGGTTATCGGGGACGTACGCTCGGTTTCGGGCTCAGCTTTGTTCTTGGTCTCACACAACTGGGATTGAGGTCTGCAGCCGTAAAAGCGGCGGCACAGAATCACGAGGCTGCTAATGGTGCCAGCCGGTCGGTCCAGCTGCACCTCAACGAACATTCGAAGCAGGACGTCGATGTTGACGGTGCCGGAGATGAGCTTAAGGGCCTGGCGGCTAGGCCCGAACCCCAAGCGCGTGAGATCGATTTCGAGGACCATGTTGCGCATGTACCGGCCGTACTTACGGTACCAGGGGAAAACAAGCGGGTTGAAGTAATGGTTGACAAAAGGCGTGTAGATGATGTGGAAACGCTGGGTCATGAGGATGGCCAGCATCGTATCAGCGAAGCAGCCAAAGGAGACACGCATGAAGGGATTCAAAGCCCGCAGCAGGTCTTGCAGAGAGCTGAAGTTCTCGGACTCCCATACGTCCACCCATGTTGGCCGGCTCGTCAGGCAGATGGGCTTGGTGTTCTCGCTGGCATGGATGGCCACCAGGTGCTTACACACCAGAAATCGCACCCTGTCAGGCAGTCCCATGTAGCCTATCCTGGGGTATGTCTCCTCGCCTCTCTGGAACCGGGCCAGAAACGATGGGAGACAGAGCTGGAAGAGGTCGTCGTTGTCGGGGCCGCCCACTTGGCCGCGACGGTGTTGGTGGTATACGACATCGATGACCCGATCCCAGGGAGGAACATTTTGCAAACCGAGTCTGGGGATTGGGTTTAGCTCGGGAGACTTGCCTCGCCCTCGTACGTCGAACCAATTCTGTGTCACAGCTTGGAGGAATGACTTTTTCTTCTTGATTGGCTTTGGAATGCCTGGGTTTGTGGGTGAGCTTTGTGAGGGCATTTCTAGTGGAATGGCTTTGCCAACTTGAGAAAGAGAAGACAATGAATGGTACACACTTACGCTTCAGAGACGAAGGAGCATCAGCCTTCTCAGCCTCCCCCGTATTATCCATGATCTTGACTTGTGCTTGCTGGATTGATATTGGGTATATTGTCGTACCATACCATACGCTCAATGATGAAAGGCCCCAGCTTCGTAAGACAAAGGTACTCGAGGGAAAGAGCGAGTTGAAAGGGGGTTGCAAGACAGAGAAGGACTTGACTAGATTGTTTGCAAAGGAAAGTCACATGAAAGCAACAGTAGGAAGGATTTTGGTACGTCTTATAGCCCGGAAAGTATAGTGCTGCCTGGTGACAATTCTGCTGTGTTTATCTCTTGATGTTGTTAGAGTATAGGAGGTGGAAGAAGGGCGCGTGCAATATTCTATCGTTTGAGCTGGAATTGAGAATACCTTATGCTATGCCGGGTAGGCAGAAACGTACCTTAGTTGGAGAAACGATATAAACTTATAAACTACCTTACCCTACGGATAGAGAAGGCAAGAGGGTAAATTAAGTGGTAGTGTTGACCCTTCCCCAGCACTCAATCAGGCACTCAACGCAATAGATGATGTACTCGGCCGTCACGAGAAAAACATGTCCTTTGGCGCCTAAGGTAGGTACTCGGTAATAGGTATTCAAGTACCTCTCCATACCTAGGTAATGTAGCCCATGGTTTTCGGGCCACCTGGCGTAAGCAGTACTCTTTAAATGGCCTGGCAGGTTCCCGGAGGTGATAAAGCCCTTGGCAGCCACAGGAGATGACGGTCCTGTATCGTATGCTGAGTGGAAGGGAAGAAGTCGAAATTTGAGGAAGCGATGCTAAGGCCGTTGCTGATTAGATCCCACGCCATCAAATTCGCTCTGAAGCGCTTCTCACTGCGTGATACAATGACATACACTGATATCATGAGTTTAGGGAATCAGGATATTTGAACGCATATTCATGTTCAGAAGCCGCATTTTCTTGCCCTAGGCACTGGGATGGGACTCGATTCTTAGCGGGTCAGTGAACACTCGCCTATGGTAGAACTCACAGAAGACCGACTCGAGTCGAAGGAGGACGAGGACGAAGAATCATCATAACTAATTGGGATACTGTGCATCACGGAACGAACCACTCAAGGCGCCACAGCTACTGCGTAATTCATTAAGGTACCTAAGGTAAGGTAGGTAGTGTACAGATAGGGAGTACCTTATGTACGTTGGTACGTTGGTACAGATCCATACCCCTGCAAGTTACCTATTGGTTACCTACCCGGGTTTAGGGGGGTATAGGACAGAGCCCGATAACTGGTCAGTCTGTCAACAGTCTTAGAACATCATGTCGACGGAAATTTCTCTGTCCTGGCTCTGGTCAGAGCAAAAGTCTCTGTCCGAGCTCTGACCTATAAACCCCCCCTCCCGGGTAGGTAGGTAGGTAAGGTACCTTGGTGTCTTGGCCCCAGTTCCAAAAGAATGGACTGCTAAGCCCTAAAAGGCCACGCGAAGAGCAATGTCAGCCCTACGGGGCCCTACCATCTCCGAGGAAAGAGGAAAGAGAACAGAAAGACGTTCCCGCCTATGACAATCAAATACAGCATACGGAGATGCTTACGAAGTAAACATATAGAACCAGACGACTCTCCTGTACAGATAAGGCCGAGAAAAAAAAGAAGACAAAAAGAATCGAATCTCGTCGAACATACTTGCTCGACTCCCCGGAAGACACATAAGAAGTCCAGTGAGAGTTGCACCAGCTGTGTGTAGGTGGGACAAATCCCGTGCCATCATACAGAATCTGTCTGACATCTACGCAGGATTTCGGGGTAATGTCAAACTGAAAGAGGTCTCGTCAGATGGGAAATGTTTATATGCCCATCTCACCCTACTTTGCCGAGACGAGATATCCAACCTGCCAAAAGAAATATACGGAAATCCTCCCCTTGCCCCTATCGCCAGTCGCTACTAGAGGGTCACTAGGCAGAAGTTGTCGGTAACATGGAGTCACCAGTAACACGGACAAGAAGGCCAATATCGGGCGAAAGCCAACCCGTGGCGCCTGTTTCTCTCTACATATGTATCGTTCCGGTGATATACATGCAATGCAAAGAGTCTTCCGAAAGCGCATTCTCCCTAATGTCCCTCCCACTAGCAAAGAACCAAAGACAAGCGTCAAAGCATCTGGCGACTAGGCCCCCAAAATGTCCCCTCGCAAATCAGCTTCTCGGAGAGGCGCGGCGCCCCATCCAGCACCAAGAGGAGGGGGAAAAAAGCATCGAAAGTCCCTTGTTGGCTATTTCGGACCCCGGCCCATAACGATCCGCATCTAATCATCGTCGGTATACCGAGGTCCGCTCGCAGCAGGCGTCTCCGGCGCGCCGTACGCCGCAGGCGTCGGAGCCCCGTAATACGCCGAGCCAGACGCAGCCGGTGTGGGCGCAGCCGCAGCAGCGGGCGTGGGAGCCGAATCAGCACCCCATCCGCCCTGCCAGCCTCCGGGGGTCGGCGCGCCGGGGGTGGGGGCCGAGTACGCGCCCGGCGTCGGGGCGTTGAGCGCTCCGGGAGTAGGGGCGCCCAGACCAACACCGGGGGTGGGTGCGTCGTAGGCGTTTGACGAGCCTCCGTAACCCCACGAGTCGCCGCCGCTGGCAGCAGGAGTCGGCGCAGAGACGCCTCCATACGCGGGCGTCTTGGATCCGGAACCCCAGGCGTCGCTGGCGTACGCCGGCGTGCGAGATCCGACGCCGAAGGCATCGCCTCCTGGAGCTGGCGTCCGTGCACCGGACTGCCATGCGGGTGTGCGGGATCCGCCGCCATATGCCGTGCGGTTGCCGTCTCCGTATGCAGTTCGCGAACCATCGGCCCAAGCAGGCGTACGTGAGCCGGAGTAGTCGCCACCTGGCGCGCTGGCCTTCCAAGCAGGAGTTCGTGCTCCGCTCGTGACGGCGGGTGCTTTGTGGTGTTAGTAGTGCGCTAGTCGGGGGTTATTCAGAACGGGGAGGGGGGAAAAGAGAAAGGAAAGAAAAGAAAGATAATGCCAACTTACTTCTAGAGCCCCATGCGGGAGTTCTCTCAGACCCAGCCATGGGCGTACGACCTCCTTGCCAGCTTGCATCGCTGCGGCCAGCACCACCAAATCCGCCTCCGCCGCCTTGAGACGCTCGCGGAGGGCGGCCGCCGATGTCGATTCTCGCGCCGGTATGTTTGTCCTTGAAGCTGAGGAATTCCTTGGGAACGCTGATGGTCTTGCTCTTCGTGTGCAGCTCGACCCGTGCCATCGTGTCCGTGGTATCCTTGACGATGCCCAAGAGACCCTTGTAGCCGCCCTTCTTGATGATCACAGTCTGACCCAGCGCGCGATCGCGGCCGAACGTCTTGGGGGGCAACATCTTGTTCTCGACGCCGGCTGGATTCCGCTTCACAGCCGGGTTCATTTGATCCAGGTTGGGCCCAGCCGAGGAGACTCGCCCGCCCTTGGCAGCCACGGTGGTGACGTTTCCGGCCCTGGTGACAAACACGCCCGCATTCTCGTTGATGCTGTGACTGTGCAGGAAAATGAAAGAGCGGTGGATGTGGATGATCTTGCCCTGGCGCTGCTGGCCGCCAGCCTCGCGCACCACGTCGTCGAGACGAATCTCCGAGCCGTCTCGGTCGGCTGCGACGGCAATCTTCCTCTTGGGCAGCTTGTTTGCGATCTGGGATGGCAGAACTTGGCGAGTGTCGCCGTGTTGATCCAGCACGACCAACGACTCGCGGTCCACCTTGACGATACAGGCCACAGTCGTGGGGTCCAGCTGCACAAGGTCGAGGAGGGAGTACTGGCCCAGGGATCCTTGTCCACCGATATCACTGGCTTCGCGAAGATCCTTGCTGAACACTGTGACTTCCGTGTTGGTCTGGTCGGTGATGAACGTGACACGGTCGTCTTCAATCTTGACGACCATACCGACCTCGTCTCGGAACTTGCTGCCGCCAACGACCTTGACATGATCACCCTCCCGGAACCGCTTCCTCAATCCCTTGGTCGGCACTTCGATGACTTGTCCGGCGAGGTCGCCTTTTATGACCTCGAGCGTGACGATATCGCCAGAGACACTGGTGGCCCTGCCCACAACGCCCCTTTGCTCGCCTTCGTATACCTCCACAATGTCGCCGGGCAGATAGGCAACGTTCGCGTTGCTGTCTTTCAAGCTCGCGGCGAGGGCCTTCATGTCGAGGTTCTCAGTGCCGTCTTCCGCCCCCGATGCGAATCTCGTCACCTCTTCCAGAGTAGGGTTAACATCCTGGACGACGAGCTGTTGGATCTTGATATCCTTAACCTGGAAGCCGTTCTCAAACTCGTCACCCATATAGGTCCAGGTCTTTGTCGTGGGATTGCCCTGAATATGTCTGGGGTGTCGCTTCCGCGCTTCGGTTTCGTTGAAGAGACGCTGCGGAGGTCGCGGACCAGGCATGCCAACGGGTCGCTTCCTCTTCCCGTCCGCGGTCAGCACCGAATTCAGCGACTCGTCCCTGACTCCGTAGTCGAGGCGAGGAATGAAGCGGACCCTGGCTTCGAGCCCGTTCTCGGTCACGTCGAGGACCTGAGCAAGATCGCCAGCGTGCTTCGCAGGCCGACGGAGACGCACCCACGCACCAGGCTCTAGCGTCGGCGTCTTGGTCACGCGGAGGAGGTCTGGCCTGTCCTTAATGTCGACGAGGACCAACTTGTTGCGGGGATAAACGTTGAGCATTCCGTCCAGCGCAGCCATGATGTCAGCCGTCCGAGTGGCTTCCACGTAGACGTATCCCTTCATGACCGACTGCGGGCCTCCTCGCTCAAATGCGGAAAAGATGGCCAGCTCGTCCCTGGTGCCCATCCTCTCTTGGACTCTCTTCTGAATCGCAAAGACGACCTCGCGCTCCTTGCCTTCCTTGCAGCGCACGGCCCAAATGGTGGGATCGTCGACGCTAGGCATGAGAAGGCGCTTGGGCACGAAGGACGAGTCGCCCAATCCCCTCGCCGGACGGCGGTTGCCATATCGCTGTCGGAGAATCTCGGCTTGCTTTTCGGCGTCCATGCTATTTTCCAGCTCGCGCTGGCGGTCGAGTTCGCGATGCCGCCGGTCGTCGAGCCTGCCGGTATCAACGACATCATCCGGATGTTCATTGTCGATGAAATCTTCAATCTCCTCGACGTCCTTCTCCTCGTCCTCGCCGTCTTCTTCGTCGTCAACCTCGGCTTCGATATCGAAGAAGGCAGTGCGCCGATCTCGACGGCGCTTACGCCGATGGCCCTAATGATAGAAAGATGTCAGTAAGAAATTGACTTCTGTCTCCATGTGTCGGCCAAGAAACCAAGAAAGGGCACTGCGAGAAGAGAGATAAAAACATATGGCAAATGTAAAGGGGGCGCTTACGTGTTGGACATCGTCTTCGTCCTCGTCCTCGTCATCCTCCTCTTCCTCCTCTTCCTCGTCGTCTACCGCGTTGCCGGTGCGTTCTGCGTCCTCCTCTTCTTCTTCCCCATCACCACGCTCGTCATCGTGTTCGGCAGCATGTGCAGAGGGCTTTGAAGCCACTAGAGATTCATCTTCGTCGTCTTCGGCTTTGTTCACTGGGGTCGAATCTCTTGCTTCATTTTTGAACCCCCGATCGCGCTCGTTGCCCGCATTTTCGTCATCGGAGATATCGGCAGGCGCGGGATTAAAGTCATCCTCATCTTCCGACTCTTCGAATTGATTATAATTATTCGAAGTCATGATGAGATGTGAGGTAGGAAGGTTGCAGTGATGTGCACGTTGCCAGGTGTGATGTAAAATCCTTCCGGTTCATGCGCAACCGGCAAGGTGACAACGGCTGGATGTCGCACAGTCTTATCTTGGTATGGTTGAAGACAAGTGAAGAAAATTAAGAAAGAGGAAAAGTGTGATGATGGGTAGTTAAATCCCTTTGCCTTTTTTTGGGTTGACTGGCGGGGGAGAAATTGGTTCTGGAGTGAATGGGTTGTGAATGTTGGAAGGCTGGATGCTGAATGCAGTTCAATACCTGAGGTACGGTACCCGTAATTACCTTACCAGCTGGTTGGTCACAGCTTTGTTGCAAGTACGGAGTACGTAGCCTTTATTATTAGGTAGCGGCAGTCACAGTATCTTCTCCATAGGTAGTTGTACTCGAAGGTGTGGCGCATGGCTGCACAGCCATAATTGTGGCGCTTCATCATGGCTTGTGGTCTGAGCTCTGCTGAGTCAATTGTCCATTTTCGTTCAGGGGGCCCTTACCGAACGCTCTCCTTATATTTGTCCGAGGAAAGGAACTCGATTTCCGGATAATAGTATTTGGCCTTCTGTCGTGATAAGCACCTTGAATAGGGGGATTGGAACAATAAGAACGTACCATTCTTTGAATCATTCTCAATAGACATTGGAAGACATTATTGCAAACACTTTTAAGGCCCGAACTTGTTTGACCTCCCTGTATATACATTCAGAGCAGCGCCCCAAAAACAAAAACAACAAAAGGAAGAAAAAAAAAGAAGAAAAAAAAGAAAGAAAAAAAAAAGGAATGAAGGCCATAGTAATTCATGATTTCGTGACAGTCAGTCGAACTTATTAAGGCGCACAAACTCAGGGAGCTAACAGTCTATTCAGCACCTTGACAACATACGGGTCACCGATGTTCCACCCCCGGAACCGCCACAGGATGGATTCCTCATCCGAGTCCATGCAGCAGGTGTCAATTTCGTTGACATATTATACGTTCGGTCAACCCCGTCCCCGAGTTGCATCACACCTCCCCTATCATCATGACTAATATGTATTTGTCCCGATACTCCATCTGTAGGCCCAAGGGAAGCATCAGAACAACCGGTCTCTCGTCCGCCCTCCCTTCACCCTGGGCCTCGAGTTCGCAGGGACCGTCATCTCCGCACCTCCCACCTCCGCATTCAAGCCCGGGGACAAGATATTCGGCGGCCACACGGGCTCCTACAGCGAGGTCATATCTCTTCCCCCCTCCACCACCCTCCACCGGATCCCCCCGGGATGGTCGATGCAAGGCGCCGCAGGCATGGCCGCAACCCTACCCGTCGCCTACGGCGCCCTCGTCCAACGCGCAGGCGTAAAAGCCGGCCAAACCGTCCTCGTGCACGCCGCCGCCGGAGGTCTAGGCATCATGGCCGTCCAGGTCGCCGCCGCCCTGGGGTGCCGGGTCATCGGCACGGCGGGCTCGGCCGAGAAGTGCGCCGTCCCCGTCCGGTACGGAGCCGCGGCCTGCGTCGACTACACGGAGCACCGCGAATGGTGGAAGCAGGTGCTGGGACTCACGGAGGGGAAGGGCGTCGATGTCGTCTTCGACCCCGTGGGCCTGATCGACCTCTCCTTGAAGTGCGTGGCTCACTACGGGAAATTGCTCGTGGTGGGCTTCGCGGGCGGCGACATTGAGAATGTTGCCATGAATCGCGTCCTCCTTAAACAGGTGTCTCTCATAGGATACGTGAGTGTCTTCGGCCAAGCAAACCACGCGTGTTTCTTCTGACTGACATGACTGACATGAATGAAAAGCGTTATGGTGAGACGCTACGACGGTCTCCCGAAGAGGACAGGCTGTTGTGGCACGGTTTGCAGGGCCTCGTTGATTCCGGTAGGATAGCGCCTGTTGTGTATGATACGGTGTATGACGGACTGGAGAGTGTGCCCCGGGCGTTGAATGATTTAAATGCCAGAAAAGTCTGGGGGAAAGCTGTCATCACGGTAGACAATGGGGCGAAAACAGGCCTAGATATGAGGTTGTAGAACGTCTCCGATTGTGGAAGACAACACCTGGAAGACAAAGTGACCACCAACCACATACCGAAAGTAGGAACAAAAGAAAAACCCCCACACATCTAGACTATCCACCCTTCCTCCGCAACAAGGCCGAGAATCATCTCGGGTTATGACATCAGTCCTTTTTGGCGTCATCCCATTTCTTCGTGAGCGGTTAGAACCAAGTCAATTCCGTCGAGGTGTGCGCATCGAAATATCACCACAGAGCGTAAAGCCGATCCCCTGAACGCCGGGCTTCCGCAAGTATGCCAAGTCCACCAAGAGCCAGAGCCACACAGCTGGAGACGATGTGTGGCAGAGTTCTTCCCTTGTCTACGGAACAAAGCTCAAGGCATCTTGACGCCCCATACCCCCCTGCCGGCGCCCACGCCCAGCCATTCACCGTACTCGGCATTGGCCAGGCGAGGTACCCAGCCGAGGTTGCCAACCTCGTAGTCGCACTGCCAGCTGGCCGATGGGAGCCGGAAGTTATCGGGCTGACCGCCGCCGTTCACCGAGCCTGTCGAGTTCAGAAGGTCCCACGTGAGCACCTGGCAATCGTCACCTCCGGACGCCAGGGTGCCTCTCCGCAAGGGGGACCATTCTACACAGTTGACGGCTCCACCATGACCGCGCAATTCGAGGAGGGCTTGGCCGGGCTGCCGCACATCGAGGATACGGATCACGTTGGACTCGGCGGCAAAGGTGGCGAGAAGATGGGTATCGTGCGGCGACGTGGCCAGCCTCAGAAGGGGTGGCGGGTTCGACATGGTCTGTTGGGCGAGCGTAGGACTAATCCTGCCGCCATTCGGGTCGACTTTTCCTCTCGTTAGTCATTGGACTGGTTGGGGCAGGGAAAAGAAGACAGGGAGAGGGAGCGGAAGAGGAAGAGGAAGATGGAGGAGAAATTGGGGAAAGTCAGAAGAGGTTTACGTTACCTCTATCGTCCTTGGAGGTAGGCTCGTAAATGATGGTGCTGTGTTCCAGGCTTCGCAGATCAAACATGCGAACGCTACCATCCTGGCCGCAGCTCACAAAGACGTCCACCGTGTTGGCACAGAACCGGACGTCATAGACTTCCTTATCGTGGGCGATGAGCTGCGTCTTGGCTGTCAAGGAGGGAATGTCCCAAATGGTACACGTCGTGTCAATGCTCGATGTGATGATCAGACTCGGGGACACAGTGTTCCAGTCCAGAGATGTCAACGGAGCAGTATGATCGGGCGTCTTGGAATTCGAGAGCAGTGCGAGCGGCGTGAGCTTGGTGGCAGTGTGATCTCGGCCAGACCGGCTTGTGATGGAGTTGGTATGCGACTGCGAAGATGCAGCGTCGGACGGAAGGGACCACAGACGAAGGTGGTCTCCCGACGTGGCCAGGAGGTCAGTTGACTGCTTCTGGGAGGACGGGGGTTCCCAAAGCAACCGAGTGACAGGGTATGAGTGTGTGGCTTCGGCGATCTTGGAGAACTCGAGACTATACTTGGAGGAGCCGGGCTGTTGAGCTTCTGGAGGGCTAGGAACAACTTGGGTATCAAGGATTTGAATCTGGAATGACAAGAAAGTTAGCAAAACGCGGTGCTGTAGTAGTTGGATGTCAACGGCCCGTGGAACGTACAAAGTTGTGCCCATCCTCCAGGTAGCTTGCGACAGCAAGCTTGCCCGCACTGTTCCCCTGAGGTGCCCACTTGCACCAGTCCATGGCGTACATTGCCCATGGGGCTAGATAGTTGCTGGTACCAGCCTGCGCATGGGCAAAGTCATAGCCATGAGATCCGGGCATGGTATCACTTAATCCCGAGTCGGTACGAGGGCGGATGTCAGCGAGGCCAAGGGGAGTGTTGGAGACGTTCCTCTGAGAGCCTGCCGCAGCGTATTTGTCCGGAGGGGACATGTATTGTGACGAAGCAGAACCACTGCCAGGTGTAGTGGGGATGTAAGGGGCATACGAGGAGGAGGAGGAGGGACCGTCGTAAGCACCGGCTGCTGGGGAGGATCGCGAGTAGCTGTGGGAGAGGCCAATCGACGGTGGTTTCGAAGAAGAGCCAAAGTCAGGCTGGTGTGGCTGCTGCTGATGTTGCGGCGACGGCTGAGAAGCGCCCTGTATGGGCGGTGGGCGAGCGCCACCCATTCCACCTGGATGCAGAACATTGGGCACCGAGGATGCGCTATGGTAGGCAGAGGCACCGGGAGACGTCTGGTCGAGCTTCATGTGTGATCCCGGTGCGGTAGGGTATTCCCGCGGAGACATCTGTCCAGAGGACTGGCTCATGGCAGCAGGCGGCATGTGCAATTCGTCATGCTGAGAGCCATAAGCGCCCGTCCTTCGGGGAGGACCGTATTGTTGCTGTTGATGCGGCTGGTTCATTGCGGACAGCCTACAGGTGGTTGAAAAAATACGGCCGAGGTATTGAGGTTCGAATCGTACCGCGTCAAAGGACAGGCGCGAAATCAGGCTTGACGATGCGGGGAATGGGACGGCCGATGCTTGTCAGAAGAGAATGCGTGTCGAATATGCATGTGCAGTGAGTTACTGCCAGTTACTGCCGCAAGCAGACGATCTAATCGCCAGCACGCGCTCAATATCGGCGTCGAATGGGGAGGGGGCAGGTGAAAACCAGAGATGAATGTAACAGGGGTTCGAAAAGGCCTTAGTATACAGGACCTGTCGCTCCTATGGCTTCCCGACAGGCACAGCAAGGAAGGGGAAGTTGGTGAGGCGCACAATTGCGACACAGGAGCCTGACGCTTCAAGGTGAAAGGTGACGGTCCGGAGCACTGACCTTGCTCAATGGCGGGGCGAAGGGGGGCTTTGCGTTCATTGGGCGAGCAAGCCAGGCCTGCAACAGGGAATATAATGGGAGCAGGTACACGGACCCGGGGCAACAAGTCAAGTCGTACCTGCGTATCCACACGGCGGGCGGTTAAACGCCCACTGTCCCTCAGCTGGATAAATTCATACTTCCTCAAGTACAAAAAGCAAACCCATACTTGATTGCTAGTAACCACCGTTGGAAATCAAGAAATCGTCAGACTTGGGACTAATTGTCTTGAAGCAGAACATGATTAAGACTTGTTTCCTCCTGTTTCCTTCTAGGGTTAGGAAGTCAAGCTTGATTAGTAGCTCAGCTAGAGGAATAACGGAGTCAGACGTATCCGTAATAGGTATTAAGGTAGTCACAGTACGAGGTGTCATGAACCTAGTAAGCAGCATCAGGACGACCTAAGATCGGATAAAGAGGTATCAGGGAGCCCGATTCGACACGGACCTTTGAGGTCTCACTCGCATCAGTCTCACACGACACGCCCGCGGCCAGTACGGAATAGCAACTTGTGCTCACTTTCATGTCACCTGGCCATCCCGATCGACCATCTAAAAAGATTCGTATTCAGAACATCCAACTCATCATTCTATATTCGATATTCGATCTTCTCGCGAAATCTCCCTCTCCCTGGCCTTGCGTTTTACATTCTCTTCATATCCTGGTCTACGAGGAGACTTGGTCGCACCTGCCACACCTACCTTAGATGGGAATCCAAGAGTGGTATAAGTATAAGCGTTTCTGTAGCTAACGAGCTGCTACCTCGGAATCAGACACGTCACAAATCCAGCAGCTACTTCCTACCTTACCTTACCTTACAGAGAGTACCTTTCGGATATTCGCAACTTCTAGGTTGTACGTACCTACGCTGGGCCTCCATCTCGCCCCTTGCAAGTCTCATCCTTGCAGTTCCAACCTTCTTCTCCCTCGCAGTGCCATTTTCGACCCAAGAAATGCCGGCCTCCAGAGCATCGGCCTTTCTCGAGCGATTAATTCCTCAAGATAGCGCATCGTTACTTCCACTCCATCACAAGAGGAGAACATCCGACGATTACAATCTCCAAGAGCTTTCCCCAACCACCGAGGAGACACTGCTATCGAAGAACCCCATCATGCGCTGGGGGCGAGAGTCCCGACGTTCTCTATCCCCCAAAGATCCCTGGTCAGAAAATGCGAGCTCCGTCGGCTCAGATTCCAAGCGAAAACCCCGTCCCGTGTTCGACGGACCCCCGCCTCCAGTCGCTGCTTCAGTCATGATGTCCCGCAATTCTAGTCCGTCGTCCCACACAGCCTTCAAGGACCGGAGGGCTAGCAAGGGGGCCAGCGTCAAGCTGAGCCAAGCGGGCTCACGGAGTGTCCGCTTCCAAAGCACACCGCCCTTGCAAAGCGTCGCATCGTCGGATTCTGTTTGGGGGTTGTTGCAGCGGCGGGAGAAGGCCATCGGGAAGGAGCTACAGACTCTGCTCGACATGCAAGCCTCAGGACTGGTGGCCGGAAGTTCCGTGACTCCTTTTCCGTCTTCTGCTACGAGCGAACGCGAACATTTCAGCGACGATGACGGAAGCAGCACGCCCACTGCCACCTTCTACTCTACGGTGACGTCCAAATCGCGCATGATGGCCTCTCTGGACCTCCCCGACCGTGCCACGCCTCGTGGAGACATTATCCCCGTCCGACAGCCCAAACCATCCAAGTCGACCGGACTCCGAGAGGCACGCGCCGGTCTCCGCAAGTCCATGATGGCGCTGGAAAACCTCAAAGCGGAAGAAGACGCCTGCGTTGACGCAGCTTTGTCGGAACGCAAAGAGGCCCTTGGCCGCCTGCAGGATTTGGCCACGCGGCGGGAAGCCCTGTCAGATGAGCTGCGCCTGCTGGCCGAGGACGGGGAGGAGCTTCTTGCGACGGAACTCAGAGAGCTCAAGTCCCAACACACTTCACTCGACAGCGAAATCCGTGAGCTCGAGGAAAGGCTCGTCGGGATGCGGAATCGCCGGAGATGGTTGCAGCGCAGGATGGACGATGTGAGAAACCGCCGCGAGGCCGGGCTCAGCGGTTATCGCGGCGCGCTCAAGGAGGTGGAGGGCGAAGTGGCGTCCTTGATGCGCCGGCCGCCCGTTGAACCTCTCGATGTTGATATTCTCGTCAACGGATTGGCGGGTGACCCCGACGGCCACTTTGATCCGGACAACCTTCCCAACGGGGCCGAGTTCCTTCAGCTCATACCGGAACGGAGAACCGTGGAGATGGCGGCGGAGTGGTGGCAGGGCGAAGTGGGACTGCTCGAGGCCCGCAAGAAGCAAGTCGAAAAGGAACGGGAAGCGTTAGCAGACGGGCTCAAGCTCTGGCGGGACTGCACGACTCTTGTCACCACTTTCGAATCCGAGCTGCGCAAACTTATGAAAGGCGAAGTTTCCGGCAAGGGTAAAGGAAAGGCGCCGTCACTCGAAGAGGCGATGCGCTCCCAGCTGTCAAGCATGGGGGAGGCGATAGCCAAACTTGAAAGTTATACGGAGAAAGCTGAGGCGAACAATTGGAATCTTCTCATATGCGCCATCGGGGCCGAATTGGAGGCCTTCCAAGAGGCGGAAAGGATGCTCCGCCAGGCGGTCGAGAGTGTAACGGAAGCGAACACGACATTGCGAGAGCCATTGATTGCGCATGCGGACGAAGACGTGTTTTCTGCTGACCCGAATGCACGCCTACAGAAGACCGAGGAACCGACGGAAGAAAGCGACAACGAGGTTCCTCCGGGTCTGCTAGTGGCTCAAGGGGATGAGGATCTCAACGGTAGCAGGGGCCGCTCTCTCTATGAAGAAAAAAAAGTCATTCGGCATCCGCCTTTTAACAGGGAAGAGAGCGATAGCGATATGCCACCACCGGAGTTCTTGGCAGAGCACGATCCGGAAGAAGATGAAGGACGTTGATGCGGGCTAAATCAGGATGTCTGGGGTGGACCTTGTTTTTCGTAAACTTCCAATGGTGTATATTATGTCGATACCATTCTTTTTCCTTTTTCTTCTTCTTTCTTTTGAATGTCCTTTTTCCAACCGGGGCTCGCAGAGCAGGCATAGCAGTTCATTATTGCTCTATTTCGAAAATACCTAATGCAGAGTAGTATTTACTCATCCACAACATAGACTCATTTTAAGGCACTTCAAAGAAAGAAAAATGGGACCAGAAACGAACGGAGGCGAAACTGCAAGCGGACCATGGATAACAGGAAGCCACCTAACCCTCGGCTATCGGAGCTGAGATGGGTTTCTCTTGCGCTGTAGGGAAGACCGAGGCGGGAGGCCGGGAGGCCAACGAGTTCGTCTTCACAAAAGAAAGTGCCCGGATGGACGAGTGGGGAGACAGGAGATTGATTGCAATAAAAAGCCTCGGTCACGCCCGTTTCTTTCTCTTGCTTTGCCTGCTTTGAATTTTGCTTCGTTTACTTCTGCTAGCCTGCCGAGCGGTCGTGATAAAAGCCATGAATTTCCAACTCCGCCTGTTTCCGAAACGCCAAAAGCAGAACGGGGGTGAGTGAAAGGTGGGGAAGAAAGCAATATGAACGGGTATTCGCCCAGGTTGTGTTCTTTGCTGCGTTCCCTGGGCGGGGGCGTAGCAAATAGGAAGTGAGTGAGTGGGTGAAGGAACTCGGTCCGACCGTTGGTATCGTATCGTCAAGACATGATCATCGCACGGGCCTCGCAATCAACCGCGGATTTGTGGATAGACCGCCGAGTCAAAGCCGTCCATCTTCTGTATCGGAGAAACCATCCCCGGCGGACCCGAATCGAACAACGACAAGCCTTCGGATCACCTTCTGCGCTCAAACCAACCGCTGGCGCTGGCGATGGCGACGGACTGGTCCATGACCCATTCGCCGACACCGAGATACTTGTCGATCCACGTCGACACGTCCTTGTTCTCGCCGGCGGCCTTGTCGGTTTTGAAACTGTTCCAGAGGCGTCGGGGACATGCGTTAGCTTATCGGATACGAGTGTTTTCCGTCGCCGCGCAGAAGAATCGGAGAGGCGAGGCAGAGGGCAGGCAGAGAGGGGGGTTGTTGGTGCATGAGACAACTCACGTCAAGCCGGTAGACCGTTTCACGCCAGCGAGGACGGTCGAAACTACATGACAGGTGGGCGGAGTGTCAGTGGACGGTAACCTGTCGGAAGGTGGGATTTCGGGGTCTGGGGGAGGAAAGCCCCAGGACGACATACTGAGGACAGCGTCAAAGGCGTAATGTGTCAGACGGCCGAGCTTCGACCAGAGTCCCAGAGTCAGCAGGTTGAGGAGCTATTGCCGGCGGTTTTAGAGGCTGCTACCCGGCGGCAGAAGCGAGAGGACCAGGAGGCGGGAACTCACCACCATGTTGACGGTAAGTATGTATTCCTCTAGGGTATTTTGTTTCGTTCGATCTGTATTTGTGGTCCTTTTTTTTTGGATTTCGTTCCTCTCAAAGAGAGCTCTATCGGTAATTACAGCTAAGTGATGGTGATGGTCGGGCACTGGTCAGAAAGCAGGACTGCTGTGTTGTCGGTACGGAGTACGGTACGAATGGAGAAAGGAAGCACGGAGCTCGCTGATTAATGTGGTTGGTTAGGATGCAGGGACCACAAGGTTGACCGCCTTCTCGATAACAATTCAAGCGGGGCTCTCGATAAGAGGTGGTGGCGTGTGCCCCCCGATTGCCGATAAGTCGATAAGACAAATTCCACGTTGGAAGGCATTTTACCTGGTTATCGGGGCCGATGCATCCCTGCCTAGTATGGCCTGCGGCTAATTGAAGCCAGAACGGGGCCAGTTTATAGGCTCTCCAAGAATAGGGCAGTCCGTCCATCTCCCGGCGCGACGCTGATGGGTCGATGAGGCTAATGAGATTATCAATTGATGGGCCCAACCAGCCAGTCAGGATACTGGTTTTGTTGAGGCGCTTGAAGTAAAATGAGGCGGAAGACAAATAGAGCTGGAGGGTTCAACCAGCTGCCTGAAGCCGCCCACTCCTGGTTGGCTAGAAGGAAAGAGAACATGGGGCTTTAACTCGACCTGACGCCTCCGACTACCTTACAAGCCAAGCGAAAAGGATACGGCACTCAGCTCTGTCGCAGGATTCAAAGCGAGGAGGGCTACTCCGTACGGAACGTTGTTCAAATCCCTCATTCTTGCTGTGCTTCTTTGCCCCTGTTCTCCGTTTCTTCACATAGGTATTGTCTATTCGCAGTTCTTCGCCTCCCCTATTGCCCTTCCTGGTCATATCGGCGAATCCGTGTGGAATTTGTCAGAGCGAGATTTAATTATCAGTGGCGTTGAGTTCGAGTGAGAATTGTTACGCAATCCCTTTTGGTCAAAAAACCATCCCATTACGGCCCGTGTTCCCAGCATCAAGTACTCGTTAGTGCGATTAAGAGAGCAAGCCAGAGAGGGAAGACCCTGATAAGTTGTCAGCCACTCATTATGGTAGCTCGGTACTGGCGTGGTATCACCGCCTATTGCACCTAAGCCAGGTGGGAAGGTGGGGGTCTCAGTGGTGCCAACCTCCTTCCCAAGACCAGAGATACTTGTTAGCGGGGGAAGGCACTGAAACTCAGATTGCATGGTATGTATACCTCCACCTCCACCAGAGACAAACGCCGTAATAAACACCGCAACCACCCAATTCGCGCGGGAGGGGCTTCGAGGAAACCAGGGAACCACTCTAGCTTCACGGATTGTGCATGTCCGTTTGAATATCCTTTTGCTTTTTTCTTCTTCTTCTTTTTTTCTCTTCTTCTCTCCTTCCCACTTTCCTCCTCCTTCCTTCACCATCATCCCATCATCCCGTTTCCCTCATCTTGCCTCGCTTTTCCCCCGCTCTTCGTCGCGAAGGCCTATCGTCAACTCTTTTACTTTTCTTCCTCCTCTTTCTCTTTCATTAGGTCAACGCTCATTACCCCGTTGATCCCCGCGTCCTTCCCCTCCCCTCATCTAACCCGGATTTTCCGGACCTAATCTCAAGAGTCAAAAAATTATCACCCGGTCAACGACAAAATAATCAGTCTCATCGCCCGCCATGACTACTCCCACAGCAAAGGACCACCTGGCTAACGACGGCAAGATCTCCTGGCTTGCCAACCTCGACACCGCCGTGCAGCCGGAGAGGAATTACCGCCGCTCCTCCATCATCTGCACCATTGGGCCCAAGACCAACTCGGTCGAAGCCATCAACTCGCTGCGCCGGGCGGGTCTCAATGTTGTTCGCATGAACTTCTCTGTATGCTTCTAGCCTTCTCCAACTTACTTATTTTTCCAGTTTCTCCGCCTTGTCTCCCCAAACCCCCTTCCCTTCATCTCTTCTTTTTGGCATCGGGGTCCGAGTTGACTAACGCGCCACTTTAGCACGGTTCATACGACTATCATCAGAGCGTCATCGATAATGCTCGCGCCGCAGAGAAGGCCCAAGGGGGCCGCCCGATCGCTATTGCCCTCGACACTAAGGGTCCTGAGATCCGAACTGGCAACACCAAGAACGATGAGGATATTCCCATCTCTGCGGGCAAAGTCCTGAACATTACCACGGACGAGCAATATGCCACCAGCTGCGATACCGACAACATGTGCGTGCCGGATGCCCTTCTCTCATGCCTGATCTTTTTTTTTTCTTCTTTTTCTTAACCTTTTTCTTCATGAGGAACCCACCCTAGACTCACCTGTTGATGCAACTAACATAATGTCTCTCCAGGTATGTCGACTACGCGAACATCACCAAGGTCATCGAGCCTGGCCGTGTCATCTATGTCGACGATGGTGTCCTCGCCTTCGAAGTCCTCAGCATCAAGGACGAGAAGACTGTCGAGGTGCGCGCCCGCAACAACGGCTTCATCTCCTCCCGAAAGGGTGTCAACCTCCCCAACACGGACGTCGACCTGCCGGCCCTGTCCGAGAAGGACAAGGCCGACCTGCGGTTTGGCGTCAAGAACAACGTCGACATGGTGTTCGCCTCGTTCATCCGCCGCGGCCAGGACATCAAGGACATCCGCGCGATCCTCGGCGAGGAGGGCAAGCACATCCAGGTCATCGCCAAGATCGAGAACCGCCAGGGCCTCAACAACTTCCCCGAGATTCTCGCGGAGACGGACGGCGTCATGGTGGCGCGTGGTGACCTCGGCATCGAGATCCCCGCGGCCGAGGTGTTCGCTGCGCAGAAGAAGCTGATCGCCATGTGCAACATGGCCGGCAAGCCCGTCATCTGCGCCACGCAGATGCTCGAGTCGATGATCAAGAACCCCCGTCCGACGCGCGCTGAGATCAGCGACGTTGGCAATGCCATCACCGACGGCGCCGACTGCGTCATGCTGTCGGGAGAGACGGCCAAGGGCAGCTACCCGTCCGAGGCGGTCAAGGAGATGCACGAGACGTGCCTCAAGGCCGAGAACACGATCCCTTACGTCGCCCACTTCGAGGAGATGTGCACGCTGATCCGTCGCCCCGTGAGTGTTGTCGAGTCGTGCGCCATGGCAGCGGTCCGGGCCTCGCTGGATCTCAACGCCGGCGGCATCATCGTGCTCTCCACGTCGGGCGACTCGGCTCGCCTCCTCTCCAAGTACCGACCCGTCTGCCCCATCTTCATGGTGACGCGCAACGGCCCGGCGTCGCGCTACGCCCACCTGTACCGTGGCGTCTACCCTTTCCTCTTCCCCGAGTCGAAGCCCGACTTCAGCAAGGTCAACTGGCAGGAGGATGTCGACAGGCGTATCAAGTGGGGTATCAAGCTCGCCCTGGAGCTCAACGTGATCAACGAGGGCGACACGGTGGTGGTTGTGCAGGGCTGGAAGGGCGGCATGGGCAACACCAACACCCTGCGCATTGTCAAGGCCGACCCGCAGCACCTCGGTCTCGGCGAGCTCTAGATTGGGCCGTGCGAAAGCCGAAAGGCGGAAGCCGGACGCCGGAAGCCGAAAGCCGAAACGCGCGGGAAATTCGTCGGAAAGCACAAACGGAGAAAGAAAGGGTTATGATCTTGGGAAAATGGACGCGATGAGATGAGGTCGTTGGGATATCCCCTTGAGCAAATTAGACATGGGCCGGTTTTTGTCTGCAATGATTATGATCTTCTTTTTTTTCTTTTCTTTCCAAGCCATATCGTCGCGTCACCCTGGGTGTGTTGTGAGGTTCCACCGGGTAGGTCTCTGTTGCTTCGTGCGTCGCGTGCGTCGTATCGTTCCTGTGGTGTCGTCTCATGGTCGCTGTCGTCGTCCTTGGTGGTTTTGGTCAACGTAGTGGAGGAGGCCCCTATCCAAGTTCCACTTCTCAGAGAGACAATACAGAGGAGAACATGAGCACCGAAAAATAGAGAATACCTTGAGTCCCTACCGCAATTGAAACGGCCATATTCGTACTCGACCTCGTTTGCCGATGTTTTGAAACTGCTCGACAAGCTTCCAAGGCCGGTTCGCATGGCCTGCTTAACGGTTTGGGGATCTCGGGTATACAAACGCATTTGACGGCGCAAACGCGAGTGACAGACAGGACAGTTGGCTCATTTCCGACAAATAAATTTAGCTTTCCAACCGGCCTGAGAAGAAGAAGAAAAGAGAAAGAAAAGAATAAGAAGCCATTGCGTGGTGAGATTCCTTCCGTGGTCATTTTCTTTGCATTTCCGTCTGAGAATGCCTCGGGTCATGTCGGAAATACCCGAGGCAAGTGCACGGGCCGTGCAGAGTAGCACCAAGTACCTAATTACAGAGGTTCTCCCGATGTGTTCCGTCTTGTCCTATATCTAGGTACCCGTCTCTCCTTTTACCCGAGTGCACGTGAGTTGAAAACCCCCCCACGCCGCCCCGCCCCCTTCTTCTCTCTTGTCTATTTCCTCTCTGCCTGCGAGTGTCGTGAACTTACCCGGACATCCACATCCTCAAGCCCTCCGTGTCAGTGTCAGCACCCAACATGCACACCAACGTCATCTCGCGTTCGCCTACCGGAGGGTTGTATCTTTGCGTTCCTTCCTGTAAAAGACACCGGACACTGCCGCTCCTTATTCGTACATTAAGCCTGAGACAGAGGACAACAATCCGAGGCCAAGGACCGATGGCGATCATTTACCGAGAAGGGGCACGTGGCTGACATGAACCGGGCTTTGCTTTGTGCGGCGTGCGTAATGTCCAAAAGCCCGAATGTAACGGCAGCGAGGAGCGGGCGTTTCGTTTGGTCTTCAGGACGATTTCCGAGAAGCAGGGTCTTCGATTTACGGATAGTGGTAGAAGCACCTATTTATTAGGAGAGGAGGTATGGAGGTGAGTCTGGGATACGTCTGATGACTGTTGATGACGGGTCGACGGTGAGCGAGGTGAAGTGTTCTCAACGAAGCCAACATGGCCGAAATAATGAGAGACAGGCTATGGAGAGACGAAGTTGGAGAGAGAGAGAGAGAGACAAAAACGGCCGACAGCAGCCGCCCAACGATGGGACCATCCGGTTTCGACGGGTTTCCATCGCATCCAACCAAACGGTCATCTCGATCGTGATTTTATTGCAAGATGGTTGACAAGACTTGTGCACGCGTCACCAGACACTGGCTCGTGAAGAAGGGGGAGCGTTGAGTGGAGAAGAAGCAATATATTTCAGACCTCGTGTCGCTGGGCATTTGGTCTCCAGGACGGGGCGATGCTATTCCAGACTTTTCTTTTCTTCATCTTCCCTCCATTTTCTCCGGGTGTACGTTGTACACGCTGGATAAATATATAACATGATCAAGATGAGGGAATGATCGACAACTGGGCAACAGTGTGAAGTGGCTCTTCTGCCCATGCCAACGCTGCCGAGACGGAGCTTGAAAAGAACCTCGATTAGGAAGGAGGGGCCATATAATGTGAGTGGTAACTGGATGCGAATGAAAAGACAACGTTGAAGAAATCCAAAAGGGGGAAGCACGCACTATGCCGCCCCCTTTCCCCCCCCCCCTTCCCCCGGCCGGTAGTCGGGATCACGGGGCTGGAGTCCCGGCTCCAGTGCCGATCCCTTCTTTATCTTCCCATGGCTCCGGGGATGGGATGGGACGTTCAGGGATAGACCCCTAGCTCACTTCCCCCGAGGCGCACCCCAGGAATCATGGAGAATGTTGGCACCCGTGTCGGTTCATTCAACTTGTAGATAATTTGAATCTGTCTCGTCACCTGCATCCCAAGCCGGCGTCAGAGGAGAATGTCTCCTCGGACCTTGTCTATGGCGCACATCCGCCTCTGTGCCTACCAGTATAGGTAATGTAACTAGAGAAAGAGGAAGATGACGGCCGCGTTATTTCGAGAGACTGGACGTCTATATGATGGCCACACCATTAAGGTGGTCCTCTAGAGATAAGTAGTGTGGTTCGGGGACATTGGGCTGCGCGACGTTGCGTCGACTGCTTCTCCCGGTTCCCATCCCAGCCCCCCTTCAGCCTTGCTTCGATTTATCCGGGCCCGGTTGTTTTCAGTCGACTGCCGTCCAACACTCCGTACACTCCGTATTCAACATCCATCTTGTCTGTCGGGGGTGGAGGCGAGGCCTAGGACCCAGGGGGAAGCGGGTATGGCCAAGTTTGGGACCTACTTCGCGCCATACCCGTACAATCATGCAACCAACACCATACAGCCAGCCAGCTAGCCAGGCTTTGGCATCAGACTGTGTGGGGTTGCGGGTTCAACTGGCGTGGTCGAACCGTCCTCATAGCTGGGCATGCCGCTCCGTAGGGTGTGAAAAGGTATATATATAACACTCGTCTGGTTCCCCTGAGAGAGAGTCGCTCGTCAGTCGTCGAACACTTCTCAACCCCACGATCCAGAAGTCTCCAGTCCTCTCAGATTCAACTATCTATCCATCCATCCTTCCCAGTTGTCATTCTCCCTTTCACAATGAAGACCGCTGCTCTCCTCTCTCTGGCCTCGGCCGCTTCGGCCCACTGTACGTCCTGGACACTCTCGTTAACCCCTTCGTCCCCCGTTTCTGTCCCCCGGGCTATGATCAGCACTGATCTACAAACGCCCTGATCTGCATGTTTTCTTTTCAGAAAAAAGGAAAAATTCTCCCGTGTTGATCCGGCCCATAACTGACCGAGAAACCTCCTGTGCAGACGTCTTCCCCTCCGTCTCGATCGGCGGCCAGTCCGCCTCCAACTGGGAAGTCGTCCGGCAGACGGCCAACTTCCAGAGCACCGGCCCCGTCGAGAACGTCTCCAGCCCCCAGATTAAATGCTACGAGCTCAACGGCTCGGGTCCCTGGTCCGATACCGGCGTCCTCAACGTCCAGGCCGGCGCCTCCGTCTCCTTCACCTCCTCCCCGCCCATCTTCCACGAGGGCCCGGCCCTGGCCTACCTCGCCAAGGTCCCCGCGGGCACCGACGTCACCCAGTGGGATGGCTCCGGCGCCGTCTGGTTCAAGATCTGGCAGGATGAGCCCACCATCACCTCCAGCAGCATCACCTTCCCTACCATGAGTGCGTTGCCCCCTTTTCTCTTCATCCCTGTTAAAAGAAAAGAAAAAGTGAAAGGGGACATTGACATTGTCTAACACGGAATGATACCCATTAGACTCCGCTTCCATCGACTTTAGCCTGCCGTCGTGCCTCGAGAACGGCCAGTACCTCCTCCGTGTTGAGCACATTGCTCTCCACGTCGCCGGTGCTCCTCAGTTCTAGTAAGTCTTGCTTGCTCCCAATACTCTACGTGGAGGGCTAGAAATATGCTGACGGTTGTCTTCTTCACCAGCCTCTCCTGCGCCCAGATCAACGTCTCCGGCGGCTCGGGCGGCTACAGCCCCGCTGGCATGCTGAGCTTCCCCGGCGCCTACAGCGCCAACGACCCCGGCCTGACCGCCAACATCTACTGGCCCATCCCCACCTCTTACACGTGAGTCCAAACAATTCGATAATCTCAAGGTGACAGACGGCTAACCTATTATTGTTTACACCCCTTAGTGCCCCTGGTGGTCCCGTCGGCTCTTGCTAAGAAGCCGGGCCGGACTGATCATTGCGACGACGCTGGCAATTTGGGGGAATACGATTTTCGATGGCTAATGACACGACCATTCTCTGGAGGAAACCGTTTTGCAAGCTCCGCAGACACATTGACTGACGTTCGTGGACTTGCGAGAAATAGGAGGACGGGTTGATGACCGTGGCCTTCACTTCACATACCATCTTCATTTCTTAGGTGTTCGGCTTGATCACTCTATCGGGCTCCTAAAGCGTCCATAACCAAACTATATATGTACATATTCTCACGTAAATATAAGCCAACTTGCGCACTCTTTTCACATGCCGATACACGTCGTCCGGTCCTCACAGTGCAGTATCATCTGACCCAAGTCTTTTCCTAAGTGCTACGCCTACGCCGTTGTTCGTATTGGCAACTACCTTGCCTTTATGCAATGGAGCCGGGCACGGGTAAGAAGTCTGATAGCAAAACATCGCCAGGCGCTGCTGCGATTCCCCCCAGCCCTCGTTTACACTTTCTGTCCCTCGGGGGTGAGAGGTTGCCTTCATCTACCAACGTCTGCAATGAGTACCAAGGGAAGGCTTTAGCGCTCGGGACGGCCCGATGACACTAACTGACCTGTCTATCGTTGGGATGGATCCCGAGCCGGGGGATGATAATTCCACATCCATGGGGACATAATGCAAGTCAACATGTTCCGGACATGATGACCTTTGAACCGTGGACATCTGAAGCCCGGTACGGCGTAAGAAATGCTCACAAATAGCGCATTCGTATGACAATGTCACAGAGACACACGACTATGGAGTGATATCTTGGGAAACTGGATGATATTATAGATTTAAGTAGGACATTTGCGACGCATCAATCCAACGACTGGAGGTATCTCAGAGGTAGAGTATGTAACGACGCCAGTAGACACAAGGGAAGACGAAAACAACGGAAAAAAGGGGGAAAAAAGGAAAATAGAAAATAACAATAAAAAGTAAATGCCGTGACTTGCCGGGCGTGGACAAACCAGGCCCCTCTCCTACGCACACAAGCCCAAAAAGAAAACCGGAACTAGTGCACATCCCCTAATCTCTCCGGTCGCCAGCTTTCTTTTTTTACTGCACGGTGCCCTCGTTGCGAGACACAGTGGCCGCGGCCATCTCGTGCTTCTTCTCGGACGGCGACTTCTGGCTGAAGGCGTAGAGGGGCGGAATGGGGGCCACGTCCTGGAAGAGCAGGTACTTCTTGGCATACCACGGCAGCTTGTCGAGGTAGTAGCGGGCGTGGTCGCGGTTGCGGACGCTGAAGACGCTGTCGAGTTCCTCGAGCGTGAGGTTCTTGGTCTCGGGCAGGAAGAAGAAGCACACGACCCATCCGAAGAGGTTCCATGCGCCGTACCAAGCGAAGGCGCCCGTGTCGCCGAAGGTGGCGACGAGGGAGGGCCAGCTGAAGCTGATAACGAAGTTGAGACCCCAGGTAACGGCGGTGGCACTAGTACACGAACGGACGAGGGTTAGTTGGTTCATCTTATAGACCAGACACACAAAGGCAAGGGCTGAAAGCGTACCTGCACATGCCGATGTCACGGATATGAAGAGGGAAGGCTTCGGCCGAGTAGGTGAAAGGCACGGGGCCAGCACCCGGAGAATAGACGGCCATGAAACAGAAAATACCCGTGGCGATGCAGGCCAGGCGGGCGTTGCTGCCTTCGGGGAGGAAGAAACTGAATCCGGTGAAGAACATGAAGATGGACATGAGCGGGAAGGTGACCAGCAGAAGGTTGCGGCGACCGAAGGTGTCGATGGTGTAAATGGCGGGGATGGCGAAAAGCCAGTTGGTCAGGCCCGTGCCCATGGTCACCAGCAGCGCCTCGTCGCGGGTGTAGTTGGCGTTCTGGAAGATTTGCACTACAGGAAACGGGGATTAGACGCCCGAAACCACAGTTGTATATACGGCACCGAACTCCCTCGCGTCCCTGCCACACACAGAAAGACTTACTCGAATAGTAGACGATGACGTTCACACCGCAGAACTGCTGCATGAACATGACGAACCAGGAAGACTGGGCGGCGCGACGGTTGCGGCGAACGGTAAAGAACTCCTTCCAGCTGCGGCCGGCGCGCTCGGCCGACTCGATCTCCAGGAGCTTGTGGGCGTAGTAGATGTCGCGGGCGGCCTGGACGGGCGAGTAGCGCAGGCGCCTCATGGCGCTGAAGGCCTCGGGGTACCTGTTCTTCTCCATGTACCAGCGGGGCGACTCGGGGCAGAAGTAGACCTGGAGCATGACGATCAGGGGCGGGATCGAGGTCGAGCCCATGATCCAGCGCCACTGGGTGTTTTCTCCGAAGACGGTCACGTTGGCGAAGGCGACGCCGACGATGGTACCGAGGGCAATGCCGAAGGCGGTCCACATCTGCCACATCATGGTGAGGGCGCCGCGAATGGTCTTGGGGGTTGATTCGGCCGAGTAGACGGGGGTGGTGCTGGACTTGGCGCCGACGGCGAAACCGAGGGCGAAACGGGCGATGAGGAGGTTGTACCAGCTGTAGGGAACGACTCGAGTCAGAACGACGCATGGAGATGTCAAAGCGGAGGGGGTAGGAAGGAAAACAGGAAAGGTGGGAAAAAATAAAAAAAATAAAAGGAAAAAGGAAAAAGGAAAAAGGAAAAAGGGGAAAAGGGGAAGGGGGGGGGGGGGGGAAGAAAAAAAAAAGGAAAAAAAAAGTTCTTACGAGTCAGCGGCAGCCATCCAGAAACCAGTTACAACGGACACAAAGCAGCTGATGAAGATGGTTCCGCGGCGACCAAAGTACTTGTTCAGTACGGGGTTGGTCCAGCAGCCGAGTAGGGCCGAGCAAAGGTAAGGGGCACCGTTGAGCAGGCCCTGCATTTCAGGGGTCCGGATGTCGAAGTACTCGTAGTAAAAAGTCTGGGGCCGTGTGTCAGTACGGGCCGTCTCGAGGAGAAGCAAAGAATGAACAAGCAAAAGAGGAAGTGAAGTGGTGAGCATGCACGAGGCGTGTGCAGGCATATATATGCAGGCCGCGAGAGAAGGCTTACCTGAGCTCCGTTGACGGCAGATTGGTCCATGCCCTGGACAATGGCAGAGCCGGCACACAGAGTGCAGAGGAAGTAGAGCATGAAAGGTTGGCTCCAGCGGTGGGTGAGTTCGCGATGCAGGATGGCCTTCTCGTCCTGGTCCAGCTCGCTGATGTGCTCGAAAGCGCCGTCCTGGTTGTTCACCTGGGCGACGAGTCCGCCCTTGCGGAAGATGTCGCGGTGCTCGGCGATGCCCTTCTGCTCGACGAAAGCGTCGACGTCAGCGAGGACCTCCTCGCGGGACATGCCGACGAGGGGGTTGTTGAGCAAGGCACCCAAGGTGTCGGCACGTCGGCCCTCGCTGCTAGGTGCTGGACTGCCTGCCTCGAAGACGGCCTTCTCCCCGCTGGTGATGCGATTCCTGGTGCTACTGCTGCGACTTGAGCCGCCATTCCGGGGGTGGTCATTGGTGAGGTCTGTGTGGGGAGCCTCTTCGTCTACTTTTGGCGGAGGCATGTTGATTTGCGGTAGTGAAGGAGTAAAGGGGAAGGGGGAGGGGGAGGGAGCGGGAGAGATGGTTTAGGCCACGTCAGATGAGGGAGCAACCAGAAAGGAAACCAGCGGCCCGAGCCCTTCGAAAGGCTACCGATTGGCGCGGGATGGTTTGGAACGAGAGGAAAGATGGTGAGATGGTGTTCTCAGGAGACGGGGCCTTTGGTGGGCGATGGGGACTTTAAGGGGACTTTAAGAAGACAAGGCAACGCTCCGGGGGAAGAATCCCTGAACGGTACTTTGGGACGGATGAGGGGAGAGGGATGTGGAGTGCCAACTGCAACTGCAGCTGCATGAACAAGCTGGAGACTTGATACCTAGACAACGAATGGCCGGTAACGGACGAAAAGTGAGTGTCGTGTCCATCGGTAAGAAGATCAGCACATGCACATGCCTGGTGGATGAGCACGGGGAAGTGGATACCGCGTTCCCCAGGGACGAGGGGAGACGAGGGGAGACAGGGAATGAGGAAACGGACACACGCCATGGTGTGACGACATGGGGCTTGGTCTGTCGGTGTCTTGGAGAACGAGGCACAAAGCCAGAACGAATTGTGTTGGTGCGGAAACGGTATAGTCGGTAGAAACTGGATATATGGTGTGTGTGTCCGTGGGAGAGCCGCCGCAGAGACGCCGGCGGGCGGCGGCGGGCTTTGACGGACCACGACCCACGCCGAGTATACTATACTGCAGTGTAGTGTAGGCAGTGTAGTGTAGTGTACTTGGTCCCTGGACCCAGTCACCCTCCCTCCCTCCTCTCCGCCGTCAAGCGACCATCGCGCACTTGGTAGCAACGGCGGCCCGATGAGCTTGTCTCGTATGCCGTACACTAAGGTCACTAGAGCAAGCCACTCGCGGCAAATGGTGGAATCCGGGGAAACAAGGCGAAGAAACCTTCTCTGGGGCCGCTGGGGCCGCTGGGGCTTCTAGCGCCTCCATGTCTCTCCGGATCAAGGGCCTCGCTCAGATGGAGGCGTCCTGGCGCATCCTTCCTACGATGCATGGCGGTCTTGGAATCCTCGGCCGCCGGACGCGTCAACCTACATACAGAAACGGCTGTCAACGAATAGAACAGTACGAAAGCAGGTCGTTCCCAAAAGATGCCGCTGACCCCCTCTTTGCAGCCAACGAAACGGGATCTACCTATTGGATCCTGAGCTACTGGATTGTGCTGAGTAGGCAATTGGGACGACCGACGTCATGGGGTACCGAAGGCAACTTGGCAGGGCGGAATTCCTTCTTGCTTTCGTCGTTGGGATTCTTTGCAGCGAGGACGCAGCATTCCTTGGTTGAAGCAAGTGCAGATGATCCAGGATACGAAAAAAAAAAAATTATTCTCCTCACCATATTGGCAGATCATTTCCCGAAACAGTCACCATCTTTGACCCACTTGCCAAGCCCGGCACTCGCCCGAAGCCCGCTGCGAATACGGATACCTAGTTATTCCGGTTGGCGGCATAGAATGATCGGCAAGTAATGCGGGTCTGTCCACTCGCTTGAAGCCAATAATATTAGGTTATGGCGCCAGATGACTTGGCCCTATGCGGGTTCCAGAGAAGCAAAGTAACCGCTATCAGTTCTCCCTTACTCCTGGCAGCGAAATTATTAGGACTTTCCCAACTTGGTGTCCCTCGGCACATCTTTAGTAGCTCTTGGCATCCGTCACTGGCGCAACATCTCCATCCTCAGTGCAACTGTGTTAGTATTTCTCCGTATTAATCAGCCTCTAATCACAGTCAGCACTCCTCCCCCCGAAATGTCCCACGCTAAAGCGATCAATGCAGGGACATCTACGGATATTTTCTTCTTTTCTCTTCTTCCTCTCACATGAAGTTCTGGCATTACACTTTGAAATGAGGAAGTGAGGGGTCTTGATCCGCACTCGGACTCCCTCCCCGCATTGGAGTCTGACTCGGCGCCAGTCCCGGCGTCTGGTCCTCTTTTGTTCGAACTGGCTCCAACTCTATACACCATTTCTGTCTTATTCGTACACTACACCACTCGACTTGGCCTTGCTCGACCGACCCGGGCTGTGATCTGCCTGCCAAGCCTCTCATAAAACCAACAATGCCCATCTCCTGTGCGCATCCAAGGCCCTCGCAGACTCTACCATCGCTCCGCGTGAGGTGATCTACACTACTTTCTACTCAGACCCCTCGAAGACGCCTTCCAAAGCATTGGGTTTCTTGGGTCTTCATTTTCCTTTGTCCTATCGGTTTTGGTGGTTCGGAATTAGGCGACGGCGCCTTACACGTGTACACTACACGTACATATGTCGAAGGTGGGCCGGGGCCACCTTCGATCCCAAGGACGGGACAGTTGAAGAAGGCCAGACATTGTCATTTTGATCTCTATCACTCCCCTCCGAGGGCAGATTTTGCCCGTATCTTCGAAACTTCACCTAGTCTGCTCCAGCCTATAGATCCGTGGCTTTTCCGTTTTGACCGTCAGCTCCCACATCCGGCCATGCGCATCTTCACAGGCGTGACAGCTACATGAGAAACTGTAACGTACACAGAAACAAGGACAGCCCAGCTAGTCACGAGACATCGCCCTCGGTGTTGCTTGCGGTTGCCGCAACGAGAAAGGGAAATCTATTCTCCAGAAAGAAGTTGAGCTGTACTCCGTACGTTGCTGCAAGCATCGACGAGAGGGACCCGTGTCTCAAGATTATACGATGCACTGGCAATGCCCAGATCAACTTTGGTTCAGATGCAAGACAGTCGATGGTTTACGGCAAGATCTCTAACACAATAGCATCTCAAATCTAACTGTCGCGGAATTCGAACGCGGCTGAAGACGCTGAAGACGGTTGCGCCTTTTGCAGTTTGCGACTCTGCGTTTCTCGGGCAACGAGCCGTGTGAATCAAGAGTCTATGAAGTAAAGAATGAGAATGAGCACCAAAGTAGGTACGACACAGAACGACCCAAGTTGAGACATCTGCCGCTTTCGGGGCGGGAGGGGTGGAAATACCGGGGGCTGTAGGGAGGACGATGGCATTCCTGCCTTTGGGACTCACACGAAATCGGAAATAACAACGTCCATAGCTGAAAACAACGAGAATAAGTTGGAACAGTACAGGTGGGTAGGGCATATAATATCTCCACTAAAGCGAGATGCGACATCTCTCGTATCTTATTCCTTGCCCATCGCGGGCGCATACGGTCCGATTGTTAGTTCCCACGACTGCCACAGGAAATCTGCGTGGGAACACGATAAGCCCATCTACTCACCTCATGAGGATAATCACACATTGCCATGGTAATGGTAAGTAACCCTGGTCACCCTCGTGTCCGGAAGCATCCGAGACCCGAAAGATAAAAAATACGTGTTCCTCCCTCCCTTCATCAGGGTTAGGAATCTATGACGGGTGTCTCTCATTAAGCTCACATGGCTGTGCTCGTTGCCTGGAATCAACCAATGGCCAGGTTGCCCCGGTAACGGAATTGCACTACCATCGTCTCTCAGATCTAGGAATGATGTTGCCGTTGGCATCCCAGAGGCCTGTTTGTGGTATACCACATACAGAGTGAGCTGAGACGAAGAGCATGCGGGCAAATTAACGTGCACTGAAAAGGCAAAGTCAGAGTGCCCTGGGCAGAGATGATCTTTCTGGTTCGAAGGCTGGATACTGAAGCCGACCATGTGCGCTAGACAAGGGATTGAATCCAAATAATGCCCCCCATGCTGTACGCAAGAGTGTGATATTGTCTCCTCCCCTGTTGATAATCCAAAATATTCCCATGTGTCATGCCAGACCAGCCAGACCAGTACACTGTTCTGGCAGCCAGTGGAACTCCCAACAATGCAATGCAATCCAACTGTGATCCCGCACAACATGCTGAACCCAACCTCCACACTCACCCAGTTCGAGATGACAACATCTTAACCTTCGTGCCTCTATGTATTTGAAGCTTCATTAGTTCTACAACAACCCCATGTTCCCTCCCTTGACTCCGTTCTGCCGAGCGCGTATTCCTCTCGACTGGTCAATCCGACAAGCCTCTATCACGCGGCTTGGAAGTAATTTTGCTACTCCCGTATCTGGCTGGGCAGTACATCTCCCTTTCCCGCCATGCGGGGCACCCTCATGGAACGTTGGTTCGCACGTGTATAATGCGCGTTACCATCGTAGAGATCCGGGTCAGATGCTGTATCGTCTGTCGTCGTGCGGGAATCAAAACCCCCCTCCAAAAGAGCACGACTGCCCAGGCGGCGTAGCGGGCCTATCTATAGACGACGGCGCTTCTCTGGCTGACACGGTTGTGTCCACAGGGGGCCGTTGAAGCACAATAGCAGGGCCGCAAGAGTGTCGAAGATATTCACTCCCTCCCTCCTGGCCCGTGAGGCTTGCTTTACCAACCGCGGTAGGCGCCTTTCCAGAAGAAACCGGGCCCTGGTCCCGATACGCGGTTGAGGGCGAGGTTTGGACACGCGTCGTGTAGACGTGGTTCTGGCTCTTCGCCGACCTCTTGGGACGTGGTTTCCGAAGAAGCAACGCAGGCGACAAGGCGTTTTGTTCGCGTCGGCATCTCATCTCCAGTCGCTCCTCCTCCTCCGTCTCCTCGTCGGTAAGGGTATTATCCTCCGGGGGAAGACGCCGGCTTTGTACCTTCAGTTGAACACTGCTCCCCGATAATCTGCGGTGCCGGTTCTTGGTCGGGCTGTCTGGCGTGAACCCCTTGGCCCTGTGCTGCGGGGGGGAGGGGCCGCTCGAGTTGCTCAGCCTTATGCGCGGCGGTGGTGCGGATATGCCTGCGGCGAGGCGGCGAAGGTCGACCTGACTCTCGGAAAAGACGACGCGGGCGCGGAGTTGATGTACCGCGCGGTCAAGACCGAGTTCGATGGCGCACCGGTCCCGGACGCGACTGAGTTTTGGCCATGTTGCTCTCTCGCCGGCCAGACACGCCCGCTTCATAAAATCGCTTGTGGGATTGCTCAGGAGGCGAGGCAGATCGAGCATGTCGACTTGGGGGAGGATGTTGATGTCGCCGGAATACTTTTGGCTGAGGACGCTGCGTAGCTTGGTGGCTAGGTTGGGGAAGATGCCGAGCTCGGCGAGGAACTGCAACCTGTGAAGAGCTTCATCTCTTGCCAGAGACGAGACAGTATAAACCCAGTCGGTCTCTTCCTTCACTAGGGGGGCCGCTGTAGACTTGCGGAGATGTGAGGTAACGGGGTTGAGTTGATCGTCTTTGGCCAAGAACGGTACGACGTGAGGATTGACCTGGGAGACGATAAAGTGGTTCACGTTGAACATCTCCGCAAGCCTCGTCATGGGAAGATCGTTGTCAACCGATCCGTCGATCCAGCGCTGGGGAGTAGGGTTCCAAGGCATGTGCTCCCCGGTGCCAGGCGCCTTGACCAGGAGGGGCGCGGCGCTGAATACGAGTGGTACGGAACAGGAGGCGGCAACCGCAGACCAGATCATTACGTTGGGTGCAGTGACGTAGTTCAGAAGACGCGGGAGCTCGTAGACGGACTCGGTCGAGACGCATATGTTGAGGATTCGGCGTGTCCGGTTGTAGGCTTCCTGGAAGGTGATGTCGCCCAGCAGTCCGCGCATAACACGTGTCAAGTGTTTGATGTCGGACCAGCTCCCCTCGGTGAGGAGCCTGCGCAGTCGATCGAAGACGCCGTCAGGCCTGCTCGCGTCGTCGAAGACGGAAAGGTCGCCGTAGGGAAAGATTTCGATAACCTGGGGTATCTCTTCATCCGTCCGGGTGCACATGACGGAACAGACAATGGAGCCGGCCGAGGCACCGGAGATGATGCGGGGCAGCAGTTTTACTTCAAAGAGGGCTTTCAAGACGCCAATGTGCGACATGCCGAAGGTACCGCCGCCGCTCAACAGCAGGGCGCTCCGGCCAAAACTCTGGCGTGCATATAGGACGCTCTCCAGCACGTCTCGTTGGCTCATGCCCTCCGGGAGCGCATACTGGCTCTTCTCCACCAAGGCGTCGATAGTCTGCAAAGCCGAGTCCACGTAGCGCTCGACCAACTCCTTCGTCCCGACGTAGCAGTGGCGGTAAAGGTCGACGTTGCCCATGGCTCCCAAGTCGCGGGACAGAGCGGTGCGGACCTGATGCAGCATGGCGGGGATGTCGCAGTTGATTCGCGCCTCGTCGAGATCTTTTAGGCGGGCTTCGATCAAGGAAGGGTTATAGTCAGCCGTCGTCGGGTCCAACTTCCACAGACCGTTGTGCTCGAAGACATCGAGTTCTTCGGCGGCGTCCTGCCATTGTTGCCGTGTTTCGGCCTAGCCTTGCGTTAGCTGGGAGAATGTAGCCTAGAAAACGGCCTGGGAAGCAGCAGCTAATAGGGCTGGCTCACGTTCTGCATACGCAAGATCAGAATCTGCCTGCGTTCGTCCAGTTTCTGCCTGTGTTGGCGCTCTTGACCCGTCAGGCCATCTAACAAGGAAAGCACTAGGTCGCTTGTGCCTTTCAACGCGCGAGACAGCGCACCCAGGGCAACGTTCGCATTCTCGGGTTGTGTATTGGCGGTTGAACGCTTGGAGGCTGGCAGAGGCCCAGCCGAAGCACTGGTCTGCTTCCGTGGTCGCGTCGTCGTTAAGCTCGATGAATGAGGGACATGATTGGCATTGACCAAAAGATCAGTCATGACGCCAATTCGGAGGCACCTTGCCGGCGGAAGTAAAAAAGGCCGGGACAGGCAGAAGGCGCGGGAAGTAGTGCGTCTAGTCGAAGGGGTTTGCTCGGGGCGGAAAAGACAGACGATGGGGATCTAGAGGAGTGTGAGGGGCTAAGATCCCATCGCCCCCTTCGGTAAAGTCGAATCCTGCGCGAGCGAAAGGGTGTAGAAGGAACAAGCAAGTGCTTTGTCTTGGCAACCCGTCGGTTATCGTTAAGGAATGAGGCCCCAGTCGAGACTTGCAGCTTTGCGGTTTTGTAGCTACAAATGGTGTTGAAGGTGTTGAAGCGCCGAGTAGAAGAGAGATGAGGGGGGGATCTCGGAATCTGGATCTTCAAAGCCGATGGAACATCGGAAAAGCGGACGCAAGGAGAGGACAGAAGTACACAGATTCGATAGAAGACGACGGTCTGAAGAACCGAATGGCCGAAGACTGATGACCGTGCCACGTCCGAGAATATGTGGGATAGGAGGGACTAGAATTTTAAGTACGAGTAAGTGGTCCGGGGCTCAAGCAAGAAGATGGTACGAAGTGATGAAGATGCCGACGATTCCTGGTCGCATGGGATCTGAGAAAGGCGGTAGGGGGAGAAGGCGGTGGAAGCTGAAATGACGACAAGCGCGTCGCGTGCCGTGGTCGGAATGGCATCCAACCGACCAGGTGACCTAAATGGCCTCAAAGGTATCCATACGAAAACTCCATCGAGAGTCATTGGTCCCTGAAGCTCCAACAAAGGGTCACCTGCCGCGGATGTTGAGTTCCCCAACGATGTTGGATGTACCTCAGTTCCCTGAGTGGGACACAATTAATTGCCTCGTACCATACAATGAAAGTACGGAAAAGGTACTGCGCTTCAACGACTTGCTGGTACAGATACCAGTTTTACCGTTATGCTTCTTACGGGTCCACTGTTCCAGTATCCTCACGTGGGGTATCAAAGTGTATACTTTCGTATCGACTAGCTTCTCAACTAAAAATTTAAGAACCCAACCGGGAATACCTATCATCTGAATATTACGACTACACTCTATATTTACGTGTACTCCAGACATACGTTGTACGACAGTTGTTATATTCTAGCACGTGAGTCAGGACAAGGTGGTCTCTTATTGATTAGGGCCGCCCTACCGCCCTCGCATCACTAAGGTACCTGTAATAACGAATTTCTGTTCTGCGAAATACATGGAGAATACTTCCTACGTTCATTACGGCAGCATTTCACAAAACCTCTAATAAAGTGATTCAAACTGCTACCTAGTCATCAACCCAACTACTATTAATCGCTACCCAAGCGAGAGTTTCTTGCCCAACTTCATGACTCGGCCTGTTCAGACAAGTGATCAGATGAAACATCTGGGCCCCTTCCTTATCCCCAGATCTGGCATCTCAACCACCTAAGGCATATGGCCACGCCTGTCCCACTCCATAGACTTTCCGCTGACTAAATGCCCGAACCGACCACCTCGTCTGCACCATCAAGTTTTCTCGGCAATGGGCGTGATTTGACGCCGCCATCTAGGAACAGAATGCGCATAACTTGGTTTGTGTCATTACTACGAAGCCCTCAATGACTTGACGCCTCCATCATAAACATCCTTTATTAGTTTTACCCGCAGAGCTCAAGGACTGTCATGTCAGTGTAAAGGTCCATTATTTTGAGACTCGTCATTCCCACCTTGATCACATTCAAGGGTCTGAGTTCATGCCCGGTTATCCCACCAAACCCGCGACGAATCGCGCCACCGCGTCGCGGAGCCTATACACCGCCATCTCTTCCACCCAAAAGTGATCCGCAGTCCTGATCTCCTCCCCGTGAAACCGTGACCCGTTGACGTTCTCAAGCCGTCCGACCCAGGCCCGCAGCTTGCTCACCGGCACGAACACGTCCCTGTCCCCGAAAACCGCCAGCGTAGGGTTCCCCACCAGCTTATCTTCCGCCGCCTGCGCCGTGTCGTTGCTATAGGGAGGGAAGAAGGACATGGTGGCCAGATACGTAATGACGCCTTGAAGGGGTGACACGAGCAGATACGCTGGCCGGACCTGGATGAGGTCGGTCACTCTCTCGAGATGCTGCGGCGCTTCGTCGTCGCTAGACCGATGTGCCCCGGGCACCGTATGATTTTCATTTCCATCGGGGTTTGCGGCCTTGTTGTTTTCCGATCGCATTCTGCTGAGACGGCGCCGGCTTGCCCTCGTCCTGGCAAGGAGCTCGTTCACTCCCTTCCGGAGCTTCGCCTCGGTGTGAGGGGAATGCGGTCGCCGCATGTCGTTGCTTCTGCGCTGCTCCCCCTCGTCTCCGCCGAACCGCATCCCGAGGCTCCTCCGTGGTGACGTGGGATGGCCGGACCGGAGATCCGCGAGTAATATGGTCTGCCGCTCGGCTAGATGCTGCGCTCGGAGGCGTATGTCGGCCGCCGCGGATGTGATGTAGGGCTCGTCGAACTGGGGGAGTATTTCGCTTAGCGGGGGTATCTGCGACGTGATCATGGCACCGTATGAATAACCGGCGCATACAAAGAGCGGTCGGCCGTCGGCGTCGGTGGCGCTCGCCTCCGAGCTTTGGGACGGATTTCTCGGTTCGGCAGGCCTTGCGTTTCGGTCGCCTGAGCGGACGGGGTTGAGAAAATGAATGTAGTGGATCATGAAGCCCACGAAGGACATGTAATCGCCCCGTTCGGGTTTTGATGACCAGGACGTACGACCGGCCGAGTTTGCTGCGCCCCTGCGGAATCGTCGGAATAATATCAGCATTCGTATTGATTGACGCCCCGAGCGTGAAAAGACAGAGCTTTTACTAGGAGTAGAAAGAAAATATCAGCGCTCACCTAAAATTGAACGTCCCAACCACGAATCCAGCGCGTAGCAGTATCTCCCCAACGACGTTCACAATTGGATCATCGTAAGATCCGCCCAGCGGAGCGTACGGATGGGCGACAATCGCCGCGTGGCGCTTCCATGACGGGCCATGATAGAATGCGGTCAGTGCATGCGGGTGATATACGCGGCAGTCGATAATCGTGTCATCGTGAACGCTCGGCAGCGTGAACCTCAGCGTAGGCTCAGGGAGCATGTCGAAGGGTGTATGTACGCGTTCATAATGCGAAGGCAATGGGCGACGCTCAGCAAGCACGGAAGGGCCCGCGTTTTGAGTACTGTCTGAAGCTGCGACTGTCCAGAACTCCAGCTTTCCCCTCAGATTCCTAATTGACGGCGGATGACGCGTCGAAAGAAGCCACCATATGTCGAAGGGTATTCGACAATCATGGTCGTACAAGTCTGTTTGCGACCTTGCATCAGGTATTTACTAGTCCCAACGCGGTACCTTGGTCAAAGGAATGTTGTTGATAGTGGGGCAAATTCAAGCCACAGTCAGCCGCACCGGGTTTTAAACTGCCGGGGCCCGGGACATGCCGATCCCTTGCCAGTGCAAGGCTTGTTATAGACATGTCAACAGAACGTATGGATATACGTCGCACGGAGTAGATAACTTCAGTTGATAGTACCGTACACCTTAAGGTACCTAGACATGAATCGAGAAGCTCAAACTCGGTTCAGGACTCAAATGGTTCTCCATTCTATTTCTGCTTCAGTGTACCTTCTTGTTATGTTTCTCGTCCAAGTCTACAGATCTTTCTTTTCTGCCGCTGCCGCCCTCTCTCTTCTCCTCTTCCTCCACGCCTTTATCTCGTTGATGAGGCCCATCACCAATGGTACGCCAATTGGCCCTAAAAGTGGGAGGTAGACGGCGACTTTGTGTTCGTCGGGGAAGTAGAGCTGGCCAACCATGCTCTTTTCGAAGAAAGCCCGTTCGGCTTCAGCCTCGGCGATGCGAGCGTGCACCAATCCTTCCAGGTCGCCGAGGTGGGTACACGCGAGCTCCAGGTGGTGTATCGTCTTGGCTACCCCGTCCGCGACGCTTCGCGGGATCGAAATCGACGGCAGTGCCCTGGACAGTCGTGCCAGGGAGCCCAGTGTCGAAGATGCCCGCAGCAGGAGGTCGGCGGATCGGATTCGCCCCAACGTCGAGAGCCGAAGTGGGAGTGACCCGGTCTCCGGGGTTCCGAGAAGGGAGAGGAGGTGCCCAGCAAACGTCAGCATAGGCTGCTTCAGGTCGGAGCTAGTTACGTGCGAGGCCGATGGGGATAGGGGTTGGAGGTAGACGGTTCCCCATTTTGGGATCAGCCACGAGTGCGCAGCTTCTGAAGTCGTGTCCGGGACCGAGGCCGAATCCAGGCCAACGGTCTGGTTGCCGATGAAGAGGAGGAAGTTGATGGTCGGGGCTCCGCCAATTGAAGGCGATAGAGGCCATTCGGCGGCATTGATGAATGATGCCAAGTCATCCTTGCTAAGCACATCGGATTGTGCGCCAGGAGTCGCGTAGAGCTGAATCTGAGTATCCATCGTGAAGTTATGAACAGGGCCAAGGACATCTAGCAAAGGCTGCATGTAGTCCTGGATGGCCCTCTCGATATCCCAGGTGTTCGGCACAGCGCCGCTGGTAAAGAGGGAGAACGTAAGGTGGTATGTGGGAGAATATCGTAGAGACCGTGTGGTGCGTTTGGACAGGGATTCCGCAGCCTCGGCCGATAGCCCGTTAGGTCGCGGCTCGGAAGCTGCCGGAAACTTGGAGAGAAGGTAGGAGATGATAGTTCGCTCCTCGGCATAGGTGGAAAGTAGCTCGTTGGCAATATACGAAGCGAGGGAGGATGATGACGACGTGGGTGACGGGATGGCGGTAGGGGGGTAAGTAATGTCGAGAATTGGAGAGTGAGGATGCAGCGACGCCTGGGTAGATTGGCCGGGGGTTAGGCGAACCGTCAATACGACGGGTGATTTGTCGTCGGGGTCGGCGTCGCCATCGGGAGCCGTCGGGGCATTATCTCGTGGAGCGAGTTGTAACCGGAGATGATGACTGGCGACATCATTCAGGTCATCGAGAGCATGTTGGGTGAGGCGAAGAAGATTTTGGGCCTCCTGCTCCTGGAGAGAGGAGGCCTCGACAGATATATGCAAGGGGAAGACCGGACGACATGCCTGCTCGAGAAAACGCGGGTAGTTAGTACTAATCGATGGAGAATTCGCCTACCCCCCACCGGAACTCCGGGTTGAGGGAACGATCAGAGAGGACACGGCAACGGCGGGGTTCGGAGGCTCCCTTCGAATGGTGGTAAGACGTACCTTGCCGTCGGCCCATCGAAGCATCGTATCTAACGGTAAAGGGGCCCGGTATATTGTTGTCGTTAACCACCATATTGGCAAGCCGAGGCACAACACAATGGCCCAAAAGGAGAGGATGACGAGAGAGCGACGGCGCACATTGGAGGGCTTCTCAGGAGGGGGGCCTTTGACGGCGGGACCAGCAGCAGGTGATGAGGATAAGACATCAGCCGAGAGTTTTTCTGCCCCCAAAGAAGTGTCCTGGATCCGGCTCGGGGCTTGCTGTGAGCCATCCTGGCCAGGTGTTGGGGCGGTGGCCATGTCGGCTTGACGCTTCACTTCTTGGTATGCGATACCTAGGCCAGCTTCCCTTTGTTGTTAGAGACGGAGACCAACAGAGTGGACGCGGGATCACGTGGTGATAATATTGGCATTGATCAGATAAGGAATGGGAAGCTACCTACCTAAGGTACCTAGGTACCTTATACTCCGAACATAAGAGCATACCACTGGGTAAGGTATGTATTTGTAACACCAAGAAATTGACGACAGAAAATCTGAGGAGTAGGAGTACTGATCCCGTCTACCTTATACTCAATTTGTGCTTGGCAGTGTGCTGTAGCAGGATCTCACAGGATCTCACACACATACGAAATATACACGAATACGAAAGTTACATTTGAGGAACGTGTCGCAGGAAGTACCTTATGCGTCAACACATCAGGAGATGCCGAGGCTCGGAGTTTAAGATCAGAACATTGCATGACTGGTGGGCATTCCAAGCATTCCAATTGGGTGGCTGCGTTGACTGTCGTCACCGGTATCCATAAAAGTACCAGCTGTTGGGCGGGCGACTTATGGGCTCTTTATAGTGTACTCCGAACTGTGCGAACTCATTACCCACCTGGAACGCGTACAGTATAAGGTAGTATGTCATACATACCCCCCCGTGAATGGTTGACTGATAAGGTACTCTACCTACCTACCTACCTTACTTCGTTGCTCCGGATTTCCCGGCGAAACAACAAAGCAGCGAAACGGCGAGGCGCCTCGTCCGGGCCAGACGTACGTGGGAAGTACTATTGTACGGATATAACCTGCCACGTCTTGTATGGCAGGCCTCCTCCCAGCATCTGCTTACTCCATAACATCTCGTTACCATCCTCTTCAACCGCTCATTCCACCATGCGATTTTGAACAAAGAACCTGCTTCCTCCAGACACTCCCAACTTTGTTCCGAGCCCACAACGCCACATACAACATCATAACATTTCGGAGAGGGTCATCTCGGGGATATAATTCTACTGAGTAGTTATATTGGACCATGCCTCGTACGTTGGTTATCCTTCCCCGTCTGGCTACGTCACCCTCCATCCATATACCTTACCTTCCGTCTCACCAAGTCTATACGTTTCTGGACGTTTCATCTCTCATATCAAACGGGCCTCTTCTTGAGCCGTCAGCTGGTTGTCGTCTACTGTTTGATTCCGTGACTAAGGAGGCTTCCTCAGTTCCCTTGGCCCTCGCCGTACCCGCCGCAGCCGCTGGCGCTGCGTACCTAAACGCCCGAACCTCGCTCTGGTACGATGTCCGCCTCCTCCAATGTATCGTCCCTGGCACCTTGGCCCTGCACTGGCGAGAGCGAACCGACCGCCTCAACCCTTTTTACATCCTCGAACGCCGCGCCCGGGATAAGGCCTCTGCAAGCCGCATCTTCATCATCTTCGAGGGCAAGTCGTATACATACGCTGAAGTCTATGAGAATGTCCTCAAGTACGGCACATGGCTGCGCGAACAACACGGAGTCAAACCGAAGGACATCGTTGCCATGAACTTCCAAAACTCAGACCTCTTCGTCTTTGTCTGGTTCGGTCTGTGGTCCATCGGTGCGAAACCTGCTTTCCTCAACTACAACCTGTCGGGCAACCCACTTGCCCACTGCATCAAAACTGCAACTGCCTCCTTGGTCATCTTAGATCAAAATGGGACCAGCAATGTGACCGATGGTATTCGTCGCGACCTTGAAGATGTCCGCTTCATTGTTCTCACCCCGGCGCTGCAGGCCGATATCGCCGGCAATGAGCCTCGCAGATATCCAGACTGGGACCGTTCTGAAAGTGCTTACCATAACCTTGCTATTCTTATATCCACTTCCGGTACCACTGGTTTACCTAAGGCGGCGGTCGTCTCATATGGGAAACTCATCATAGCGGCTACTTTCTCTTCTCGGTTCTTAAAGATCGGTACCCAAGACGTTTTCTACACCGTACGTAGGCTTATTTCTACATTCCCCATGCGCCCCGCACCAGGCTAACGTACATTGTAGTCCATGCCATTATATCACAGCTCCGCCTCCCTCCTCGGTTTCTTAAACGTCCTGGAGGCCGGCGGCACTATCTGTCTGGGGCGCAAATTTTCTAGCAAGACGTTCTGGCCGGAGGTCCGCGCCTCCGGCGCGACTGTCATCCAATATGTCGGCGAAACATGCCGTTACCTACTAGCCGCGCCGCCGCAAATCGACCCCTCGACAGGGGAGAATCTTGACCGGAAGCACAAAGTGCGTGTCGCCTTCGGGAATGGCCTCCGCCCCGATGTGTGGAATCAGTTCAAGGAGCGCTTCGGCGTTGAAGCCATTGCCGAATTTTATGCCTCGACCGAGGGACCACTCGCGACCTGGAACTACAGCCGCAACGATTTTTCCAAAGGCGCTGTCGGACGCAACGGGTCTCTGTACGGCATCATGATGAGGGCCAATGTTACTCTCGTGGAAGTAGATCCCGATACGTACGAGCCGTTGCGGGACGCCAAGACGGGACTATGCAAAACCCCCAAACCGGGACAGCCGGGCGAAATGATTTGTCATGTGCCTGCCAAAAACCTCGAGCGGCGGTTCCAGGGCTATTACGGCAACCCGCAAGCCACGCTCCAGAAAGTGGCGCGAGATGTCTTTCGCAAAGGGGACGCCTGGTTTCGCACGGGCGATTTGATGCGATGGGATGGCGAGGGTCGGATCTTTTTCCACGATCGCATCGGCGACACGTTCCGCTGGAAAAGCGAGAACGTTTCGACACAGGAGGTGAGCGAGGCCATCGACTCCCACCCAGCTGTCTTCGAGGCCAATGTCTACGGTGTCGAGGTACCTCATCATGATGGGCGGGCAGGCTGCGCGGCAATCGTACTGGAGGAGGCCGCTGGCAGCCGTGTCAGTGTGGACGAGACACTACTACACAGCATCGCGACTCACGTGAAGCAGCGGTTGCCGCGGTACGCGCTGCCTATATTCCTCCGAGTTATGCCTCCGGGGACTATGGAGACGACGAGCACGAACAAGCAGATGAAGCAAGGGTTGCGGGAACAAGGAGTGAGCCTCCCAGATGGGGACCCAAGTCGGATGTTCTGGTTGAAGGGGGATACATACGTGCCATTCTCAAAGAAGGACTGGCAAGAGTTGAACGGCGGAAGGATAAAGCTCTAGAGTCGATGGTAGACTTGACTGTGATTTTTCTCTATCATGCAAGGCGCTATCAGGGGCACTGGTTGGATTCATGAGAAAATCATGGATTCGGGGATGTAAGTAGATCCGCGTAGACCTAGCATATATATTCCTGCGGCGGATGTCCTATGACGATGACGCGAAACTACGGGGTATAGGGGCGCAAGGAACTGGATCTCGTATGGTTGGGGAAGACGGGAAGCATGCGAAATATTGGTCTCACTGGGAACATCAAGGCGCCTGGTTTCTCAGATCGCTTGGATCCCCTGGGTGACAAGCAGTCCACGGAGATGTGATAGGTAGTAGTGCCCAGCGCGCAGCAACTAGGCAAAACCGCGCCGCCCCCACGATCACATCATCGGGCCCCTCGTGATGGAACATCAGCAAACTACTACTTGGTGGTGTGGCGAACCGGACCAGGGTGTCTACAACATAAGGGGGAAAACGAGAAAGAAAAAAAAAAAGGAAGAAAAAAGAAAAAATTGTACTTCGTACCCAGCCGCTCATCGGATGATGTGCTGCAATTTTGAGATGACATAATGTGCGGGGCAGGTAGTGTACAGCCAATCATAAGTCTTTCGCAGCACGCAATTGAGGCCTTTCCTGATATGGAATGGTTCCAAGACGTGGCGTCTATGGCGGGGTAGCCGCAGCTCCAGGGTCGTGCTTGATTTCAACGTCGAGGGCGCGGGGCAACAACGAAGAAAACGTGTAAAACTTTCAGGCGAGCGCGACGGGCAAACGCCGAGGGCAAGGTTAGGTTGCAGAGGATTGCAATGCAATGCCATTGGGCGGTTTAAAGGGAAGCACTCCTCGCTTGAGAGGTACAGTATTATGTGTGCAGTCAATCATGCCGCGACCCGAATGACAGAAAGTATACGTATCGTCAGAGGCAGTCGCAACGCGGAGCAGCCATGAGCATCCGTGAGGCCAAAGCGAGGGGGAACAACGGTAACTGGAACAAAGGGGACAGAAGGAAGATCAGATAGAAGGAGGCAAACAAATTGGATATGATCCCATGCTTCAGATGTGCCCGATTGTAACCCGGATGCACGCTTTTATACTGGATTGACTACTCGACTTTCCATTTATGCTCATGTATTTCTAATCACGGGGTCTCGCCCGCGCCGGTTCCATCATTGTTTGCAGAGGAGGGGCAAAGGATAAGATAGGAGACCTAACGTAACCATGATTTTGAGCGAGGTCGGTCCGTACCTACCTTGCCTTAGGTAGGTACCTTCGAGAGGTAGAGGTGTGCGTCCATTATTTAGGTAGTTCCTGTGCTCCGTACAGAGTCGAGCCCAGTCCGGGAGAAGTATTTAATTGCGCAATCCTTCCTCATCCCCCGCCCGTGTCCCCGTCGTCTCTTCCATTCTTCCTGTCCACCATTCCTTTTCGCCCTCACGTCCTCCTCCTACACCCTCTAACACCCCATTTTCTTCGCACAACACAATCGACCATCATCATGGCTGACCAGCGCCCTGCTCCGTAAGAAACAGCTCCATTCCCCCATTTGTTCTTCCTTGCTCGCCCCTGTGCCATTCCACGACAGGCAAATCCGGCCAGGGAAGGAACACCAGGCTTAGCACGACATGCCGTGTCGCTTCTCCTACTAGAAGCAGGCCGCATTGGTTTCCCTATCGGCGGTCATTTAACTATGAGATTATTCTTCGCGTCAAAACTGTGCTTTCTTACGCTGACTGGTTTGTGGCTGCAGCCTCCGCCTCGGCACCATTGCCCCCAACTTCAAGGCCGAGACCACCAATGGGCCCATCGACTTCCATGAGTTCATCGGCGACAACTGGGTCGTCTTCTTCTCCCACCCTGAGGACTACACCCCCGTCTGCACCACTGAGCTGGGCGCCTTCGCCAAGCTCGAGCCCGAGTTCACCAAGCGCGGCGTTAAGATGATTGGTCTTTCCGCCAACACAGTCGACAGCCACGAGGGCTGGATCAAGGACATTGATGATGTTACCGGCGCCAAGGTTTCCTTCCCCATCATTGCCGACAAGGAGCGCAAGGTCGCCCACCTGTACGACATGATCGACTACCAGGACACCACCAACGTAGATGAGAAGGGCATCGCCTTCACCATTCGCTCCGTCTTCATCATTGACCCCAAGAAGACCATCCGCACCATCCTCTCTTACCCCGCCTCTACCGGCCGCAACTCGGCCGAGGTCCTCCGCATTGTCGACTCGCTCCAGACTGGCGACAAGCACAAGATCACCACCCCCATCAACTGGGTCCCCGGCGACGATGTCATCGTCCACCCCAGCATCAAGAACGAGCAGGCCAAGGAGCTGTTCCCGGAATTCCGCATCGTCAAGCCCTACCTGCGCTTCACCCCTTTGCCCAAGGAGAAGGCCACCGTCCAGTAGATGCGCACGGGTGGCACAGTGTCTGGGGGCGTTTCGTCGCTTGATCAACACAATGTATGATGACGACTGATGAGTACGACAAATAACCTCTTCTTCGGCCGCGAAAGCGAACACCACCTGGACCAAAGCGGCACAAGAATTGGCAGGAATAAAAGGGCCATCGGGATCCACGGCAAGCCTTCCACGTGATCTCAATATATCAAAGCCTATGGCCATGAAAAGGAAGGAAGAGGGGAGAGAATGGAGAATATAAACACGCACACCTTCATGATATGATAGATGAACGCGCGAGGTGTTAATAGGCGCCAACCTTTGTTAGCTAGGACAGAGCAGCACCTCATGATATCCCCCGAATGTCCGAAACGAGCGTTTCGGAGAGACAGATAATGAAAATGAAGTAAAAAGATTCATAAACGAGAGCACTCGATCCTTGAATTTCGACTTGGCGGTCTTGTTTCGCTCGTACCGACTTCTGTGCATATCCAAACGCCACTCAATGACACGAAGTGGCTTCGTAGCTAGGTATTTACTTCGTACGGTGCATAAAAAAATAACATGAGCAATCATCACTTCCCTCGTTACAACGATGGAGAAGGGGGTACCTGGCCTAGGCCTGCAGGTCAAGAGTTGTTTCCAGGGACTTCCAGCTACCTTAGGTAAGGTAGAAGATAGGGAACTCCTCTTGTTGAAACTTCCCAAGCGTGTTGTGACTCCGAGTCTAATTATAGTTCGACTTGTTCCCCCTTCCCCGACGTGAATTCGTGATTCTAGCATTCCGGGATTCTGGACCTTGGATCCGAGACCAAGACTTCACGGACACTTACCCGTGCATTTAGCCCCTCCCCTTCCATGTTACTAATAAGCGCAAAGTAATTGATATTATTCGTAATTCATTACCTACGGAGTATTACCTACTTCGCACTTGTCCATAACTACCCCTCTCGCAACATAAAAAGGCTCCTCGCTGCACAGCTCCCCGTGGTTCACGACCAGGAACAAGTGGTTCCGGTAGCTCAGGGGTAGAGCAATCGCCTGCAGTCGTCCTTCGGACAAGTTAGCGATAGGTCAGGCGTTCGAATCGCCTCCGGAACTCGCCTTCTTTTTTTTTCTTGTATTTTTTATTTATTTTATGTTTTGCTTTTCTTCGTTGCATCTTATGTGATGTTCAAAGGTGGTGAGAAACCCCGCTATTTCAGCTCCTTCAGTGCCTACCTGAGGTACCTAAGGTACGTAAGGTATACAGACAGGTACGGATGCTCAGGTTACCTGGCGTATAAGAACCCTACTGCTTCGCACCCAGTAATGGTAATAATACTAGCCTGTGAACCAATCCCTACCCTCTTGCACTCAGAATATATTTGTTCATGTTTCACGAGGGAATATCGAGAGAGAGATATGTGAATGTGGATAAGAGGAAGTGAGGGGGAATTGGGAATTCGTAATAACTTTGGTGGATAGAAGTTATTAAGAACTCGGAGACCTTGGTAATATGTACTTCGTACTTCGCAGAGGACAGGAGAATCCCGCCCCCGGAAACCCTCGCATATTTTGCTGCTTCCTGAAGTGACTCGTCACTAACAACCTGGAAGCCAACAACTGATGTAGCCCCGCTAATTCAGGTCCATCGCTGTGATATCGAACCCTTAAACCCCAACAAAACCCCCCACGATAATTGCATGTGTCTTCCCATTCTTCCCACCCCGTCGTTCCACGCCAAAGGTGGTCAAGGCGGAATTTTAAATAACGTATCTTAGGGACGTGACCTTGCTTGGTCTGGCAGTTATAAGGTGCGAAGTAATAATTTCCGTGGCTTCTCTGGACTTTTCTCTTAAGGGATGGCATGAATGAAAAGGTACCTAAAGTAAGTAGAAAAATGTGGGTACTGTAAGGTACCTGTGCGTCTGTGCATATGTGCGTCTGTGTGTGTCTGTACGAAGTGTACGAAGTACTGACCGTGCACCCCTCTGGCACTAACCCGAGAATTGACCGCGATAAAGTACTCCGTAGAAGTCTCGTCAGCGGGGATCTCTCCAAGCCTGCCCATTGCCCCAGGCTCCCACTGACGGGTTTCGCCTCATTCGATCATCCACCACCGCCTTTTCTTTTCTTTTCTTTTCTTTCTTTTTGGGAAATTGGAAACCAGGTCAACTGCAACGCTGCTGGTGACTCCAACGCGGTGCGGTGGTGCGGCCCTTTTCCCTCACTTTCTTTCTTTCTCTTCTTATTTTTGCAGCCCCTCCCCGATCTCATCGAACTAGGTATTCCTAAGCTCAGAGCCAGCCCCAGGTCCTCCTCCCCCCCCCGCCCCCGTCCCGTCCGCCCTCCTGAAATCATCTTCGACCCTGCGCAATCGTACGACCTCCCCGATTCCGACTCCATCGTCCGAGATTTGAGTACTATCGACGCCATCCTCTGTTTCACTATTCCATCACATGCAAAGTACAAGTACACGTCGTTCTCGGTAGGTAAGATACGACTCTTCAATTCCGCCATACCTCGTTCTCCCCTCCTCCGCCTATCTGTAATATACATACAATACCTTACCTCGTCCTTTCTTCGTCCTCTTCCTACTTATCTCCCAGCCCTGTTTTCGTGAGCTCCGCGGGTACGCTCGGTCCTCAACGGCCCGGCGTGTCTCATCCTGACGATGCCCTCCACCCCCAAATCCACATCGATGGCCTGCCAATTTATGTAGTCCATCTCCCCAACTCCCAGTCATAGCCCCTTACTCTACTCAAAGCCCACAGGATAGGATCGGATCCCTCCCTTCAACGGTTAGGAAATACCCCAAGGCGAGGGCAGATGTCTACGGGGATAGACCATTGAGGAGGAGGGAAAGCCGAGGATGCTTTTCGTCCGTCCAGAGGGGGGGGGGGGCGTTAGGAAAGGGCTCGCTTGCTTTTTGAGCTACCCTGGCCTAGCCAGGACACAACCAACCCACAACCTCGCCCCGCTCCTCACGAACCTAGGGCTCCTCGTGGCATTTTCTCGAGGTCTCCTCTCTCCCTCCCCACACCCATGTCATCGGTCCCTCGTCCCCTTCAATCCTTCGTAAATCGTTTCCCCCCCGTCCTCCTCCCCGCGTCCGTCCGTCGCCCGGTCAGACCCGCCGATCTTCTCTTGGTCGGCCTCTGCCGGCGGCTCGCTCCTCCTTGCTTCCCCGTCCCAAGCAGTGCCCCGTGCGGTGCGACGTGCCCTGGCCCCGTCACCTGTCACTCATCCCAGCTAGGTTGCAATTCCGTCCCTGTTTCCTTCTTGCGCCCGTGTTTTTTTTCTCTCTTCCAAACCATTGCAGGAGCCGTCCACGCGTTTGTGCCATTGGCCGACCGCTCTCTGCTTTTCCCTCCTCCTCCCATCGTATTTTCCTTCTGCCTCCAGCCTGACGTTGCTGTTATCTGGGCCACTGCTTGCCTCCTACCCTTTTTTCAAGACGCTGTTCATCCTTAGGGTTCAGTACAATGTCAGGGCCAGGACTGACCTCGAACCAGTCTTCTTTAGCCTACGCCGACTCCGAGTCCGAGCAGGAGTCTCCATCGCGTGCCACTGCCACTGCCACTGCCACCGCCACCGCCAAGTCTCCGTCCGAAATCCTCTCCGGCGTGTACCGGGGCATCAAAAAGTTTACCCCCTCTCGAGAAGAAAGCCTACGAAAGCCGTCCTTGCTCGGCCTGAGAAGTGTCACTCCCTCTAACAGTGCTTCCGCTCCCTCGTCCGCCATCGACGCGAGACCCCCGATACATTTTCAGCATGCTCGGAGCTTGAGTTTGCAGAGCAGTCTCGAAAAGCCCTTGCCCGTGCCCCCTTCCGAAAAGCCTGATCTTTCCGAGACCGAGGTGCCCACCGCCTGCCTCGAGAATACTGCGACCAATTTTGCCGGATTCCACGACCATACGCACGGCCATAGGATGGATAATCGGATGAAGAGTATGGATTCATCGACTTCAACTGATTATTATCACCATCATCATCATCATCGACAACAGCAACAACAGCAACAACAGCAACAACAGCAACAACAGCAACAACAGCAACAACAGCAACAACA